AGGCATTATAGGTGAAAACGAGCACTTAATTGGGCTTGAAAACTAATTGGGCCAGGATCAATGTAAGATGCTCAAACCATCTTGCCATGGTGACCAACCTGAGTGCTGAATTCTTCTCCAGCTGAAGTTTCCGAACCATCTTCAGAGACAGCCCTCTGTTGCAGTAATCTAACCTTAAAGGTTACATTAGCCTAGAGGACCAGAGTTCATTTTTACTCAGAAAACCCATGTCCCCAATCTCTGCACTCCCTTCTGCTTTAGCCTTTCCTCCCTATCTAACTTCACTGACATCATCCCCGCTTCCTTCCTTATCCCAAACTTTTGTCTGCTTTCCTTGAGTAGTCTTCCTATTGCAGCATTAGGAAGACTGGAGAAGAGAAGGAAAGGAAAGCTTTGGGAGAATATTATTAGCACTGAATATAATTAGCATTGTAATTAATTTATTAATCACCTTCTATACAAACACCTCAATACAATGTATTTTTATTTAAAAAGATTTATAAATAGTTCACAGTATAAAATATCAAAGCAGTATAAAGAAAATGCCACATTGAACCTGATCTGGTAGCACAGAGGCAGCCAGTGCAGCTGCTTCCACAAAGGTATAATATATAAACTGAACATGGATAAAAGTGTGAGTGCGTATTTGGCTTTTAATTTTTTTTTATCTCTCCCTGCTCTTTCATAAAAACATATTCATGCTTGATATTCAGATCTCCTTTAAGTCTGCTGTAAATTGCAAATTACAGAGTATTTGGCAACCAGATCCTCTGAAGGTCTCACACTGGCAGCTCTAATTTGAGAAGCCAATCATGGCAATTTCATGCTCAAATTATCAATGCAGTATTTTGTGTACATTTTTTGCACGGTTCATTTCATTCCTTTTAAACTGTCGGCAGTCAGTTATTTCTTCCACCAGTGCATTTATTCTTGCTACAAGCCGTAAAGCTATGAGATGTTGTTGTTGTTGTTTAGTCATTTAGTCGTGTCCGACTCTTCGTGACCCCATGGACCAGAGCACGCCAGGCACTTCTGTCTTCCACTGCCTCCCGCAGTTTGGTCAAACTCATGCTGGTAGCTTCGAAGACACTATCCAACCATCTCATCCTCTGTCGTCCCCTTCTCCTTGTGCCCTCCATCTTTCCCAGCATCAGGGTCTTTTCCAGGGAGTCTTCTCTTCTCATAAGGTGGCCAAAGTATTGGAGCCTCAGCTTCACGATCTGTCCTTCCATAATCCACCTTTAACTTTGGCCTGTGTTGATGTATTTTGTGCAACTCAGGTGAACCCTTTTCTAATGGTAGCTGGGTTAATGTAGGGGTGTAATATGTACTTACTGACACTAGTTTTCCAGCCCTTGACACCAGAAGTCACATCTGTGAATATCCATTCTAAAGCACTGAAGTCTGTAGTGGTACTGTGGACAGCTGCATGGACAAGTCCATTTAAAATATTTTGATTCAAATAACATCTGACACTTGCATGAAATACAAATGGTATTGGTTGCCAAACTCTCGGAGGTGGAGGGGCTTATTTGTAGAGCAAGACACTGTCTGGATGCTACACAGTAATTCACTATTTGTCTGAGGTGACAGACTCTGTACACCATGCAAATTTGTCATACATCTGCTATTGCACTGATTTATGACAGCCCTACATCACACTGGCAAATCTGCTTAAGCCCTGTAATATATAATTTTAAACCTGAAAAATTATTACATAAAAGCTGCTCAGCCAAATCCATAGCTCATACAAATCAGTTACTTGAATTTCTGCTGATTTCCTACTCAGCTGTATCTTTTGTGAAAGCTTCCATTGAACTTAATGGGAGTGAAGAAGAACCTCATTTCAGTTGTGCCAGTGCAGTAGGGAAAGTCCATTGGATTGGATTGGTTTAAATTCCAGACATTCAACTTAACCCAGTTGTGGCCTGCTCAATTTAGGCCATTTTGTATAATTTACCCTATATTTATATTACATGTACAATTTTTTAAAAGGTGTGATCTGTGAGTGAATTTTCAACATAATGTCGGCAGTTACTGCATTTTAGTATATCATCCCAATCCAATGAAGAGAATCTTATGCAGCTAATGTGGATATGCATGGCAATGCTAATTTGTTTACTAATGAACGTAATGGATGCATTTCACACTGTCATAAAGTGTCCACATCCAGAATTACTAGTCAGGTTTAACAATGCAGCTAGAATTGAATTGCAACTAATTATGCTATAATGGTTTGGGATGCAATCCTGTGAACGTTTACTTTGGAATAATCTTATTGAATTCCAGGTGGATTACTTCTGAATATACATATAGGAGTGCACTGTAGAATAGATTATATTGGCTTGTAGTTATTGGCTGTTATTTCTTTGTCAGTCACATTATTTTTGATATTATTACCTGATCTAGTTTATCTGGAAAAGATGGTAATGGGAATCTGATCCATATCTCTTCTGTAACACCTTAAGGAACAACACCCCCCATTTAACAACAATGTGCAATGATTAGGAATATGTCCATGTCTCCTTTTTTCTCACAGAAAGTATCAGTGAATATATAGATAGTGGTAGGCTCATTTTAAAATAGTTCAGGTTCTCATCACGTTGATTAGCTGGTTGGTAAAATGAAGCTGCTGGTTTTTTTGAGGGGGCAGACAAAGCAGAGTCCCTAAACACTGCTTGTCAAAACGTATTGTTCAACAAGAAATTCCCACTGGCAGCAAAAGAAATCTGTATCCAGGACAGCTGCAGAAAACCTAAAGAGGGAAACAAACTGAGTTCTCAGCAGTAGCACTACATCACTGCTTTGCTTGTTTGGTCTTTGTGGTTTAATTTTTAGAGAGTTCATATCTCTCCTAGCCTTCATGCCGTTCAACATTCCTTTACATGTTTACTTGGAATCGAGTCATTTTTTACTGCAATAGAATTATATGGGTCTAAGGTTTAAGTCTCTGTGATTGGTTTAGCTGCATGCTTTAAAAACATTCCTAAAGTCTTTTTTTCTTTTCTTTTTTAGCTTACATGAGACTTGTGTGTGCTTGAAACATTTTGTTTGAATTGGAACATGTCGCTTGCAAGGTTTTGGCCTGAATATCCTTTGCCTTCTGTGTGGCATAATGACCACTCCCCGCTTAAAACGGGGGGCGCCCTTTGCATGGACGCGAACAGCCCCTAGATCTGGAGCGGCTCCAACAGCCTAGGCTTGGTTTGCCTTCCCTCAGGTGGGATACCTGGAGGTCTCCACCTACGTCAGTCAGTTGTCCAATCCCACCTGGGGGAAGCGTTGCCAAGGAGACCAGGCCAGGTAGGGGAGGGATTACCTGCCCACACAATAGAGGGAGGATCTTACCTGGGAATCCTCACTTGGCTCCAGAGCCAAGTTGCTCAGCATTGTATTTTGCCATGTGTACCCTTTCCATTCGTAAGGTAAAATTTGCTCAGTGGTAGCTGGAGCCTCTTGGGCCTTTTGAGGAAGAGAGTTGGCCTCTTGGGCCTTTTGAGGAAGAGAGTTGGGTCTAAAGGATAGAAAGCAGAGGAAGATGGAAAGGAATTGCTGAAATAATTATCAGAAGTGGAATACAAAAAGGGAGGTGTGAGGAGGTCACGGAAATAAGTGAGTGAAAGATGGGATAATGAAACTGTTTGATTTATTGTATTGTTTTTGTTTTGTTTTGTTAATTTAATGTTTTGCATTGTCTTTTTTTAGTGTTTAAGTTTCTGGAAAAATAATAAATATTATTTTTTAAAAAAGAGAGAGTTGGGGTCAGCTGATGGAGCCCGTGGTAGGTGTAGCCATCACTCATCTCCCATTTTTGCCTACTTATCTTTTAACAGCAGCTTGATATGCAGAAATTAAATGGGTGAAGCTTTATCAGTGGTGAGGAAAAGTTTCCAGCTTGACCTTTTGCATGTATATTTGTGATTAAAGCAATCTACTGTTTGCTCTAGTAATGGAGAACTTGCAGTCTGGAGGCCTCTGAGTTTGGCCTACCAAGTTGTTTTAGCCAAACCATACCCACTTTTCCCACCCCTGATGCCAGATGAACTCAGATGTTATAAAGTTCAGTTCAAACAAAATTCAAGATACAGATACAAATAAAGCTGTGATCTTGCTATCCACATAATATTGTACTGTTGGTTGTTCCCCATGCTGACAAGTCGATAACGACAAGAAACAAAGCCTTTCATGTTATCAGCCCAGTATTGTAGAATGCTCTGCCAATAGCAATTGAGCAGGCACCTTCTGTTTCAATTTTTTAATACAACTTTGGTTACTCACCTCTATTCCTACAAACAAGACAGACAATCAAGAAATAAAGAACTAGGTGAAGCACATTATTGCAGTTAGAATAATATAAACAGAAGGTTCATTATGCTTTTGCACACATCATTTATTTGAAGGGACTTTTAAGAAGAGTCACATATTGATAAGGTAGCCTTGATAAGGTTTGTGGTATTGGGGGCTTATGCAGCACATTATTTTTATTTCATCTCCTTATATGAAAATATTATCAGGATAAATTAGGTTCCAAACGCTGTCATGAAATACAAATCAACTGCAATTTCTATATGGCCATTCTATTGGGCTATAAATCTATCCCCACCCCCACCCGAAATGAATATTGATATCTAAATCAAAACAGAAGGGCAAGGTTAGACTAGCCTGAGGAAATGTGTGCTGTTTTCTTTTGTTGCAATTTTCATGAATTTCACACAGATGCCTAGAGACCTTTTCAAATCTAACAAGGGAGTTAAGCTGAAATCCTTGGGTATGAAAACTTCGAGATCATAATGACGCAAAGTATGAAAAGGATGTTTCTATTTAGCAAAAAGTCATTTATAGACTGTATTAGAAAGAATCCTACAAATGAAAGAAGAAAGTAAATGAAGGACATGGCACCTTACTGAATTTTCTTTGCATAGATTTACAAGTTGCTCTAAGTCCCCAGAGGGATGGATTTTTCACTATAAACCTGCCTTGGGTTAACAGATCTGTCCAATGTAAAGAGCAGTCTTTCCGCAACAAAGAAGCCTCTGATATCAACCCTTCCCCCATGTATCTGGTTTTTAAACTCCGGTGTTAACAGCATTTTTGTACATGTCCAAATGTTTTATTAATTAATTAATTTAAAATATTTACAAGCAGCCCTTTAGGTTTTTTTTTTTTAAAGAAACCAAACATCTCAGGACAGCAGTCATACTCATAAAATAGAGATATTACAATACAATAATAGCAACAGCTGAAGAACCAAAACATGCCATACATCTAGAGTTGTCTACAATATTAAAAACTAAAGAACTGTAAAAAGCTGGAAAGTAAACAAGTCTTCACTTGGGTGTTGAAAAAACAACACCAGGTAGGCTTCCATTTGGAGGGAATTTTATATATGGTACATATATACCCTCCAACATTTTCCTGATGAAAATAGGGATGTCCTATTCCCTGATGATGATGATGGTTTTATTATTTATACCCCAAAAATATGACTGGGTTGCCCCAGTCACTCTGAGCAGCTTCCAACATATATAAAAGCATTATAAAATATTAAGCACTAAAAAAACTTCCCTATACAGGGCTGCCTTCAGATGTCTTCTAAAGGTTGTATAGTTACTTATCTCCTTGACTCATAACTCCATACCCTCTAATATTTATCCAGTGAAAATAGGGACATCCTAAGGAAAAGTGGGACATACCAGGATCAAATCAGAAACCAGGATGGCTTCTGTAAATCCGGGACTGTCCTTGGAAAATAGGGACACTTCAAGTGTCTGTATATGGGCTGCCACTATTGAGCTGTTTAGGGAGGGACTTGATGGGTTGGTGTCTGTAGATCAGGGTGGCACAAACATGCCTATATTCAACCCTTTGCACATGCAACTGTGCAAATGATAGATGTTTTCTGTGTGCTTCAAGTGCCCACAGCTGCCTTCCGTTTCCTTTGCACCCCAGGACCCACCAAACTTACCAGGAGAAGGGGACAGGGGACAGCAGCAAAGGTAGTGGTGAGTGTTCCAATTCTTTGGCAGATTACCCTTTTCACCAAGAAACAGGCTGGGGGCACAGCTTCCAGCATTCCTGGTAGGAACATGGTTTGCATCATTTTCTGCAGAGGACAAGGGCTTCTGAGGCTAGAAGTGGTCACTGTAGTGGAGCTGAATCACCTGTCACTGCTACCTTGGCTTCTCACTCCTTTTAAGCTTGGGGGCTTTGGGTGATTCGGGGAAGCAGTGACAGAGAAGGCAGCTGAACAGTTGAGGTGTAGTTCAATGGGTTGTACTTGCTGTCTTCACAGAATGCTGCGAGCAGGGCCCTGTTCAACGTAGACCTACTCATAAGTAATCAAACAAGGATGCTTGTTTTGAAGAACCGTACTGCAACAGCCCTATTGAAGATGAGCATGATATTTGGACACTTACCCTGTATGTCATTTAAGGTTTTAAAGAAGAGCTTCAGCACTTTTAATTTTTCCTGGAAACTGACTTAGAGCCACCACCACCACAAGCAAGACAGTGCTCTCTTCAATGGGTCCCTGTTAGTCCAAAGTACAACTGCTAGGTAACTAACTGAAAATTAATTAAACCTCCTGAAGGATGAGATTTTCCCTTTTCAACTCCTCTCCCCTCAATAGCTTAAATCCTTTCTCTGCTTTAACTAAATAGAAGAAACCCCCAAGGTATTTTTCTTCTTTCCTCTGCTTGTTATTCATCATTACTATTCAGATAATTTGAGATCTGAGTCTACTGTTGCTGTTTTTACTTTACCACCTTCCAGTAATTCATTAAGCAATATTATCATTAACATCTATCAAATAAGGATAGCATTTTTCATCAGTGGGACTGGTTGGGCTGTGTATTGTTGTGTTTGACCAAAGGTTTTATTTTTCTTACTTGTGGATTTTTGGAGGAATTTTAAAGGCGGTATTAAACCCCCCCCCCCATCATTTTCTGATTGCTCTGTGAGCAGAACGGAGTAGTTAGCAAGCTTGTGGACTTTAATTAGCACTTTACTGTTAGTCAATTTGTTTCTTTTCCATAGTGAGTGATGCAGGGCTATAAAGCTTGCTTCTGTGATGAAAGGTATTCAGTAAGAAGCACTTCTCCTCCCACCCTTTCTCTGTATGTCTTTAGGAGCAATGTCCTGGTGGATGGGGCTGCAGAAATACAGCTTGGACCATTGGAGAAGATAGAATAATAAATCCCTGTATAAATAACTCTTCCCCATATGTGTGATGCAACCAAATGTTTGCATGTACAGGAGCCAACTAGAGGTGATTGTACAGTAAATGAGTAAGTGCTATTGACATTCTGAAACACCTTCTTTTAGCAACACAGCTTGCAGTTTGTTTTTAAAATTAGTGTAGGAATTACAATTCAATGAATAATAAAAACAAAAACTGACAACAATGTGAGTGTTTGTATGTATACAGCTGTCTTCTTCCCTCTGGGATCATAGGATTCTATTGTTGATGCCAATTCTGCTAGAGCATGTTCTAAGATGGACATAGTCTAGACTCCCTATTAATTTTTCTAGCCATATTTTAGTGGATGGGCAGGGCAGCCAGATTCTTCTCAGAGCTCTAGCTCTAGCTATTGAAGGTAAAACTAGAGGCTCAAATTGTGAATGCTCTAATGGTGTTTTTTGCATACTGAACACAAGCAACACACACACACACACACACATTTTGCTGTTTTTGTTTGTTGTTAACATTTTGCTTTCTTGACAGCACTGGGGCACAATAATGAGGATTTTTTAAAAAAGTAATTCTCTGATAGAAACACTGAAATACTTTGCCTCTATCTGTCTCAGCCCTGCCCTGGAGGTGCCCATGCTTCTAAATGTCTTTCAGTTCTCAGTCTCTGACTGCAGAGAGGATTATTAATGAAGCCTTTAAGATATTTATTCTTGCGTGGTGACATACCTACCTACCTATAAACATTTAAGGAATGGCAGGCTTTCTGGGAAGAAATTTCTGAGTCGCTGCACCATAGCTTGAATCTAAAATACGTTTCCAAAGTGAATTGGCATTTTTAACACAGTGGGCTATTTACTGACTGTTGAAAGAATCCACCTCTGCCTAAGGATCATCAGTTTGATTTATATTTGGCTTGCTGCCCTGTTTTCTGGAAGAGGGTTTTTTCTGTCTGCACTCTGCAGGAATGAAGAGATTAACCAATCAAGCATTTTAAAATGTTTCAATATGATCAATTAATTTACTACATTTTTGCAATCTTACATTTTTTTTGGTAATATTTTATTGAAAGGATTTCAACTGTAAATAAAGTGATAAAAAGAGACAAAGAGAAGAGAAACAAAAAGGCACAAAAATGTGTAGAAAACTATATATGAATATATACAAAAAATATCCTAACCCATACATCCTAACCCATATATATTATTATCCTAATACATATGTAAATATTAATAGCCTACTACCTTTTGTATGGGACGCGGGAGACGCTGTGGGTTAAGCCACAGAGCCTAGGGCTTGCTGATCAGAAGGTTGGCGGTTCAAATCCCTGCGACGGGGTGAACTCCCATTGTTTGGTCCCAGCTCCTGCCCACCTAGCAGTTCGAAAGCACGTCAAAGTGCAAGTAGATAAATAGGTACCGCTCCGGCAGGAAGGTAAACGGCATTTCCGTGCACTGCTCTGGTTTGCCAGAAGCGGCTTAGTCATGCTGGCCACATGACCCGGAAGCTGTATTCTGGCTCCCTCGGCCAGAAAAGCAAGATGAGTGCCGCAACCCCAGAGTCATCTGCAACTGGACCTAACGGTCAGGGGTCCCTTTACCTTTTGTATAAACTCATTCCAAATATTGTCATATTTTCCCAAGCAAAATCTACGTCTGTAAGCAGTCCATTCATAAGTTGTGAGTATTATCATATTAGTGATCCATTTATTAAAGGGGATTATATCTTTATTCTTCCAATTATCAATATCAGTCTTTTGGCTACCATTGGAGTACGTAGAATCAATTTTCATTGTTAACTTCCATACAATAGGTATATAGTTCAGAAGACATACCAGTAGTTTTAAGGTTTTCTGCATGACCCTGAAAGCTAGGAATTTGTTCTCATCTTTGCCATCGAAAGCTAGTATACAGTATAAATAAATTCCTGCACAAGTTCTAAGGAAGCAGTTGAGCTGCTGGGGGCAAACAGAAGCAGCTGAGAGGCTGACCGCTAGTGTTGGGAGTCAAGTACCTACCTGAGAGATATCAGGCAGGGAGTTAACATCTTCAGCATCTCCAAGCTCAGGTTAAAGGAATGTACAAAGCATCCTTCCTGTCAGATCAGAGTAAAGGTTCAGCTAGAATCTAAACCTCTGGAGTTTAGAAGGGAAGCATACTCTGGTGTCTGCCATCAGAGAGGAGAGCAAGAGCCACTGGAAGGTTGCGCCAAGGATCGCTGTTTGCTTGAAAAAGGGAAAATGCCTCGCCACCACCCCAAAAGGGCACAGATTTGTCAAAATTTGGACACATGCCCCTTAAGGGAAGTATGCTCTGGTCCCATCCCTCAGCCAAAAGACTGCTGGGTTGTATGTGTGCATCAGTGAGAGTGGGGTCTTTTATATGTTTCCAAGGTACCTTCAGAATCATTTGACTGGAATGCAGAATATCAATCTTCAGAATGAACAGACTAGCCAGATGCTTTTGAGAAATCTGCAAGCAGAGCAGTAGCCCATACTTCTTGTTGCTCCCCCCACCCCACCCCACTGACTAATTTTCAGAAACATATTGCTTCATATTAGGCATTGATGGACCTCTTCACTCCCATAAATCCGTGTAACAGTGGCCATTACAACGTAAGGCTACAGATAAATTAAGAAGATTAGTGTGGATACGATCTCCCCTAGCCAACCTCCTTGAGCTGACAGGTTAGATTAGGCAATTAATATTCACTGACACTGAAGTTCTATATCATGGATGCCCAGCAGTCTATACAACAAAGCAATCTGCTCTTGCAAGCTTGCATTTGCCTTTCTTCTTCTCTGCCTTTGCCTTGCCCCATACTTGACTGCACAGAGGCTGATAGCTGTTAATCCCTGATACAGACAGTCATCACTGGAGATACTGGAACTTGAATAGGAATCTTGAGATCTTTGAACAACCTTTCATTAATTTTTTGTTTAAAGCATTTATATCCCATGTTTACTCCAGAGACCTCAAAGCAGTTAACAAAAATAAAACCATAAATTAAATGGTAAAGGATGCCTTTAATTATAATTATAATAATTATTAACACTAAAGTAGCAGCATGAAATAACAAAAAACACAGCAACTTTTTTTTCCTATAAGAAAACCCTCAAGAGTTCACTTTGCTCATTTTGCATACATTTAAAGTTTGATTATAGTGTCTCTTAATTATAATCATGTCTACTCAGGGGTAAGCCCTGTTGAAATCAATGTTGCTTCCTTCGGTGATCACTCATGGCCGAGTAAGATTGTCTTTCATTAACACGGTCTTAATGGTGTGTCCATAAGTGACTGTAGAGGCCAATTCTGGATCCACACATCCTTCCACAGTGGGGACATTTTCCCCATCTCTCTCTCAACGGAGGTCATCATACAGGGTGACCCAAGAAATTTCTGTGCCAAAACTGGGGCTAAACCCCAACTGAAAGGGATCTAGAAAATCTATTCCCTCCAAGAGCGCCTGGCTCTGATTGACAACCACCCACTCTAGAACCTTCCCCAGGAAAGGGAGGTGAGCAACCGAATGGTAGCTAGTTAGATTTTCCAAATCCAGGGTTTCTTGAGGAGTGGTTTTACCACTGCCTCCTTCAGGCAGGCAGGGACCACCTCCTCACGTAAAGAGGCATTAATCAACTCCCTGGCTCAGCCAGCTGTCCCTTCCCTGCTGGTTTTTATCAGCCAAATGTCCAGAGCACAAGTGGTCACCCTGATTAATCCAAGCACATATTCAAGCCTTACTAACTGAAACTCATCCAACACAACATGACTAGACAGTGCTCTGGACACCCAAGATTTATCTACCCATTTTTCTTGTTATTAAATGTTTATAATTATGAATAGTCCATTCCACTAATACCAACCAGTGTAGTATAAAACAGGGATAACCAATGTGACCCTTCCCCCTGACTTGGATTCCAGCAATATCTGGGGGGCAAGTTATCCAACCATTGTATAAAAGTCAGCATATTTGAATGGGTGTGGATTTCTTGGGTGGTGGTAGAAAAGTGGCTATCTGAAAGATCTCCCCCAGCCATTTAAAATAAGTTTTCCTATTGTACCAATTGCATGTTGTATAGCAAGGATTATCTTAACATATCACGAGAACACACTGTTAGGTGAATGTATAGGTTCATATCTTTAATGGAAGCCTTTTGTTATAATGTGGGAATATGACAATCTGTACTACTTGAAACGTTTACAAGAAAATGTACACACTTAATAGTCAATAGACACCAATATTTTGAATAAGAAACTTGTAAAAGAAATAAAAATACATCACACAGAGGTTACGTGTATCCACAGTCATGAATTCTGTCTCTGCAGAAATGCAATAAATAAAATCACATCATATGCAAATAGTTCTACTTACATCAGTACAATATACTGTGCAGCTTTCCATTCATTTTTACCCAAACCAGTATTACACTTCTAGATTATCCAGTTTATTTTTCTACAATCATAACATTGCTCACAATAAAAGGGGAGGCAGAGACAAAGTTAAACCTCCACAATCTCTATCCTGAGTCTTTTTAGTTTTGCACATACTTTGCAGAAGAAAACCAAATCTTATCCTATGGCAAAAATTTAGCTTAGTTTTCTGCTCAAGGTCTATTAATATCTCACAAATGATTTTACAAAACAAAAATTTTAAGCCAGTATTGTTATTAGGAAGAAAGTAGATATGCTTCAAACTTAACTTCTGAGCAGCTGTTTTGAAAGAGATTCTAAAATCCAAACAGAGATCTATTGCAAGAGTAGTTGTTCAGTACGGTCCGTGATGGCCAACCTATATACATAGTGTGAATAGTAGCCATATAAGATTATGCTTTTCTTTTGTGTTTCGTTAGGTCTTGCAGTTAAGGTGGTATGATGAACAAATGCAGTGGCTTTTAAAATACATTCTGAGGGCTGCAATTCTCATTCACAAAAACACTCCCACAAGTCCGATTAAAACGTGGCAAGGATTTGTGTGCCTGTCAACTTATGAGGAAGGCACATTATGTCAAGCTGCTCCCAATTAGAGATCGACAAGCTCTCTGAGACTATCTCTGTTTAGCTATGGAATTTCCCACGGTTTCCTGGAAAGAAAAGGGAAACCCCGATAACAATTTCCTGAATCAAACCAAGAGATCAGAAAAATGTCACCCCAATTCCTCAAACACATCTCTCGCATCCCTCATTGTTTCTGGCAGAGAAGGAATAGCAGCAGCAACAAGCAAGAGCGGTAAAAAGGTTGATGGTATAGCATGTGATGGACTATGGAAAGTGTTGTTCTTTGAAGGGACCATGCAATTTCCAAAGATTAAGGTGAAAGGGGGTACTGCATTTTGGAGATGGGGAAAACTTTGGAGGATGTGCAGGGGTTGCAATAGATATGGGCAGTGGGAGCTTGGAAGTCTATTCGCTCTTGGATTTTGCTCAGGGCAGGAGAGGATTTTTGACCATTTAAAAAACACCCTTCTCCTTTTGTGGTGAATTTTCTTGGTCCCCAAAGTTTGATTCTGCGTGTTGCTCATGAGAACTCTGCTAACATAATTACTCCAAATCCTACACCCCATCTGACTTCGAGCACACACCTTTTGCACACATTGGTGACACACCTGTGAAAGAAAATACGTGTGTGTAAACATCAGATTATGCACTTGGATTTTCTTCTTTGTTTTCTTTGGTGGCTGTAGCTCCTGTTTGGCTTTTCAAATCTCTTTTCATATTTGGAGAAGTAGACAAAAGGAATGTAGTGGTTTGATCCATGGAAATCAAAGCAGAAAGTCCAGAGGTACAAATGTGAATCATGTGAGCTTATGAACTTGGCTTCTCTTAATTGAGACCACTGCGAGCCATGGCTCTTGGAATGCCACTGAAATTGGAATGTTTAGTCTGACACTCCTCCTGTTGAAGTCAGAAACAAAATTCTAATTCCAGCTATCAGTGTCCATCTCCCTAAGCATTTAATAGCAAAGGAAAAATGTCATTTTCTTATTTGTTTAGGAACTGCAGTCATGCCAGAAATGACACACAAAGCAGTGTACAATACTAAAAATTAAAAGTAAAATTATTATGGTCATGCTTACTATCTTATAAACCATTATAAACTGTTGGCACAACATTATCACATATATGGAAAGGAAATGTTATCACACCCTGTAGCCCCTAATAACTTCTTCTATAATACCATCCATTGGTTTCTGTAAGTAATTTGAGAACTTCATTGTTCAGTAGAACAAGTAATTCAGAAAATAAAACTAATAGTCTAGCATATACAAGTTGCATCCTATTCTGAATGATATAAAATAAACTTTTAAAATCTGCTGTCTTTATGACGTATTCACTAAAGGAAGTTGTAAGACATAAGAATATATGAGTTAATGATACTCTCCATGATTTGGAATGATTCTATGTCTTTGTGTATTCCAGCTTAGATTTTTTTAAATTTTCTCCTTAGAAATTCCCTACTAGATACATTTACTTTGCTTTCTCAATAATCTTTTAGGAGATGTACGCTCTGGAAACACTAAGCAAGTGTTGTTGTTACTCTATAAACCATATATTACATCACATAGTAAATCCCCATAATAAAAGCACTGTAGCTTAGTATATGAATCTCAAAAGTATCAAAAGTCACCAGAATATTTTAGCCTTTGATTTATGTGAATATTAGTAGTTACTGTAAATTTTACAGTGTAAAAGTTTAAAGGAGCACCTTTCAAAAATTCTTTACATGCTATAAGTGTTTGTGTGCACCAGAAAGAAAGTGTTTAGGAAGAAACAGTTTTGTATTGATAAAACAAGGTATCTATACAGCAGTTCATTTCAGAAAACCTCATTTTGAGTTTGTTTTCAAGATCAAATGCAATGAATCTTTGTGTAAAACTAAGCTGCTTCAGAATTACCGTAGCCTTGTTCTTTAGAGCTAAATTCAGAGATTCTCCCTTTAACCCCTTCATTCTAGCCTAGCAAAAATTAGTCTTTGGAGGCAATAATGTTCCAAAACAGTCTTATTTGGAAACAGTATGTCTGTCAGTTCACTAATGTAGGAGTAATGTGGTTCTTTGGATGATGCTTATGCCAATTTTCTACTAACACAAAAATAGAAAAGAGGAAATTGATAAGCCAATTCTTTTCACTGGTTCAGCTTGTTGGCCAACATGAAAGTTTGAATATCCTAAAGGGCTGTATTGCATTGGAAAACATGACACACCCACCAACAGCTGCTGGTTCAATAAAATGTGCATCCAACCTTCTTTACTGTCTTTCTTTCAGTTGGCTCAGTGTTAGTACTTAGATTCTTGTACAGTTACAGTCTTTAAATTAAATTCCAGCACATCCTTCTGTGTACTCTTTGTAGATTTTGGCAACAGTCCACTGCAGTTATGTGCTGCTTGATTTTAAACTGGACAAAGCAATTGAAATTAAGCATACCTATTGGCCTATTTATTGTGTATGCTTTATGCATGTATGATTCATTTTAGTGAAGAATGCTTTGGTAGTGTTTTAATTTTATTATTCCCTTGAAAAGTCTGAAACCTAAGAATAGTATTAGCACTGGAGAACCAGCTGGAATGCTCAAGGAATTGGGGGGGAAATAGCATACACTGACTTAGGAAAAGAGCAGAAGATTGCTGGAAAAAAACTGACAGTGGTTTTCAAACTATGTTCCAAGGAACTCTCATATCCCTGGAAGTTATTAGGGCATCCTCTGTAAGAAGGTAAGCAAAAATTGACAAGCTTCCCTGAAATTGACAAGCTTCCCTGAAATACAGCTAGACCTCCATCTTCCCCTGCAATGTGCAGCTACAGGAAAAGGTTGGATGTGTTGTAGCTCTTAAGTTACACACTCCACTATTTATGTAGGGTAGCTGTGAGACCGAATAGGAGTCACCAGTGTCTGCATGAGGCTGAATGCATACCCTAAAACATGCACCAGAATCATCTACAATGTTCAGGGGCCAGTGAGGTGGTCCACCATAAAGAGGAAAGAATAGCCACTTCTGCTAGATGACAGACAAGGACACACAGATACCCTTGCCAGCAGGAGACATGAAACAGTGGTAGAAGCAGGAAGTAGCACCTTACAGGTGTGGGGCTGCTGGGAATGACCAGGAGTGTCCAGAACTCTTGCTGCTTCTCTGGTAACCACTAGCTGGTTCTATTGGGAACCATGTCGGAGCTCCTTGACAAATGAGTCAATATAGAGAGATCTCTGAAGACTGACATTAGAAAGATAAAAACTGATCTAATAGTATTTTTAAACCAACGTAGGTAAGAGGGATTGCTGTTGTTAAAACCTCCATATTCATGTACCCTTCCAATAAAATAGATGGTTATATGATTCCTTTTAGAGAAATCTGGGATTATTAGCATGAAGTCTCTCAACCCCTATATTGGGATGGGGAATCTCTGGCCTTCCAGATGTTATTGGAGTCCTACTCTTATCAGTTCTAACCAACAAGGTGAGCGGTCAAGAATAGTGGAAGCTTTGGTTCAGCAACATCTGGAGGACCACAGCTTCCACAGCTCTGTTCTATATCATCAAAGGAATCTTGCCACTGAATGAGAATTCCATGACTGGGGAAAGAAAGAAGGGGAAGGGGCGGACTGGCCCAATATGCAAAAGTCAAATATACTACTTTTATTTACATATAAGAAGATCTGTGCTCATTATTATTCACACTTTTAAAAAAGAAAAGAAAAATAGCTCTTCAAATGTGCTCTCACTTTGACTTTCCAAGGTGAAATAAAACAACCTCAAATAGACATTTTTTTCTTAATAGAAAAATATGATAAGAATACCTAAAAAATAACAGTTAGCCAGATGTCACTTTTTATACAACAAAAAAGTTTGGCGTTGCCTTTACTGTACAAAACCACTCTAATACTTAATATTTACATAGTTTGGGCTACACTCAGGTCTCAAAGGTGGCCATGGGGTGTTTGCTTCCAGCTGAAGAATTTGAAGCAGGGATGATATATTGCATCCTCACTCTGTACTCATTTTTCTCAGAAGTAAGTACCACAGATTTTAATGGAACATGCTGCTGAGTAATGGCCTGATTATTTTGTAAAGCTGTATTATTCAGTTCCTAAGATTCTCTCATCTGCACAGCTGTTATGCCCATACATCCACACAAATCAATATTCTTGCCTTGCCCATTTCTTCCCATTTTAGCAGTGGGAACCAAAAGGCTAAGGAAGCAGAAGGGCAACCTGGTGGAGACAAAACCAGAGGAGCCAGAACTTCTGAACTTCTAGCTGTTTTGTATTTTTGTGTGTACATATCTCTATGTACATAAAGAGATCAGCCAAAGGTTCTTTGTCTGAGGCAAGGATCTCATTTACTGTTATTGGCCTAGTCTACACATAAAGCAGGATGAGATGGGAATGAGCTGACAGATTGGACTATATTACTTCAGAATGCAGGTAAGGGAAATCATATTTCTGAATGCTTCCCTGTGTAAAAAACAATATTTATGCAGAAACCTAGCATGGCTGTGAAAGGGAGCCTAGACTTTTCTCAATTTTTCATGTTGCCCCCTCTTGCTCAGTTATTGGGAAGGATTCAACTAATGAATCACATCAACAGAAGCCCTACGCAAGGGCTTCTGCTTGTGCAACAGGGCTTTCCTTTCCTTCTTCTCCTGCGTGCCCCATATCCCCTGAAACTGGCACAGGGGTGGGAGAACCCCCAGAACAGTGCATGGGGGAGGAAAGTGGGGACTGTTGAATCTGGCAAGCCACACTGCTTGCCCTTTTGGAACAATCACCTTAGTGCTACACTCAGTTCCTTCCTTTGTGTGTGGCTTTTTTTTTAATAACTTGGAGTACAGTATTCAGAAATGGCACCTCCTCTCAACTCATCTGTATTCTGAAGTTGTAAGACCACTCTACCACTTCAGGGTTCTTTTACGTAGTGTCACGTTATGTGCAGATCAGGCCTGCCTCTTTTCTGGAAATGGTTCATGTTTATTTTACACAAGAAACACCCAACAGATTAAAAAGCAGGAGACATGTAACCAGTGAATATATAATCCTACAGTGATCTCTATGACAGGAACCCTGCAGAATCCATATATAGGTCATGAAAATGATACAGAGGAGGGAGCTTTCTTGAAACAAAAATGCGATGTAAATGGAAGTTCTCTTAAACCCAAACATCCCCAGGAACACAGGCAAGAAGTTGTTCTGTTTAGACCAATACACAACATATTTGCAAAGGAATCCTTTCACAGGGAATGCTATTAGAATGATATCCAAAACTAATTTGTTGTGTAAGTAGGTCCTCAGAACCAAATACTATCTTTCCACTGCCTTGGGATTTCTTCTGTTCTATCAAAATGCTTCTGCTCCTTTCCCATAAATTGTATTGTTTTTTACTACCTCACACTTCCTTTGCTCGATTCTAATCTCCACTATTCAATGCTGAACAATACTAAAAAGCAGCACCTCTGTCTCTGAAAACACATTCCTTTTATAATCTGGTATGAGGTACAGCTAATGAAGGTCCGCTGAATGAACCTTCACATTTCCAAGAAACAAAATGGCTGACCACAGCGACTTGTCTTGGATACACACCAAGTGTCAAAACCATCTTGGCGGGGGGGGGGGGGGGACACACACTTGTTCTTTTGTCATTTTCTTTTCCACAAGATAAAAAGGCCACGTGGAATAATGTGGCTAGTAAATCATTCCTGAGTTTCTGAAAGAAATTAAGACAGAGTTACTCTACTTTTAAAATGCTGAGTCCTTAATAAGCTTCTTCTTTTCTGTTGCTGTCTTTGGTAGTGTCCATTTGTCTACAGATTTCCTCCACACACAGACAAAAACAGTTTGTTTCTCCTTACTTCATGCAGCAGAAAAGTGAGACCTTATAGAGTCCTCTCGTAATTGCCAGTGCTTGCCGATGTTGTATTCTTCCAGTTGACTTCGCCTCTCAATAGTTATTTTGTATTTTTTTCTGCATAAAAGAAATGGGTAGCACAGGGTAAGAAAACCTCCTTCAGTTTAGGATAATTAGGAATATAACTCCCTTCACAAAAGAATGTCTGTGAAGTACAAATGTGTTCCTAATGATAAATGAGATGAATGAACACTATTGCCAAAAGATTAAAGAGGTGTGCCTTGAAGCATTTTTGCCTGATCTCAAAGTTAAGTTATATTCAAAGATTTCAGACAAACTGAATATTCTTCCACAGATCTGAAACTAAGTGAGCAGGAAGCTAGTATAAAGTGCAACAGATGCTTTGAAGTTAGGGCTGCAAATAGTGGAACCATTTAGTAGTTAGTTCTCTCAAACAGTGTTTTTTTTTAAAAGATCTGCTTCAAGATTGCAGCATATGGCTTCATATTGTTCAGTGGAATAGATTGCTTGCCACCTCACACTGTTAAATATCATTTGTGTTCTGTATTTGTGTTCTTCAGTGAAATTGGGACTGCCCCATTAAAGTCCACGTACAATTCAGTAAAATCTAAATACTCAAACATATCTAATTTGATAATTAATTGTTATTCTGACTAAATTCTTACATGTTGTTACTGCCAAAAAATATTTATAGACCTCGTTTACAAGTAATAAACACTGAATGTATCTTACACTAACGGAATAATAATACAATTACAACTATAATAAAACAGAGTGCAATACAAAACTGCTCATAAAGTTCACAACATTAAAAAATCAGCAATATTAAGTACCTGTCCACTCCTCAAAATAAATAAAGCACATAAATTAACCACAATCTGCCCCACAGATGATTCAACAAACCATGGCTTGTTTCTCTAATAACTGATTTGCTTTATACAAATTATAAAATGTAGGCAATATTTTCCCCCAAAACAGAACCAACCTGAAAAAGTAGAAAGCCATCAACAATCCTGCTCCTAGCAAGGCACCCACAACAATTCCTGTAACTGCTGACTCTCCTAGACCACCTGCTTGAAAAATTAAAAAAGAAATAACCAATAGAAAATCACAAAGAAATATGTTCAATCTCACAGAATGACTGAATAAACGATCAATGTAATATTATAAACAAATCTATTCAAAATCCATTTTGAAAAGTGCCCAAAGAAACTTTTCTATAGTTCCAACTGCTTTTATTATCTTCCTTTATGTTTACCTTGGAGCTTATTGTTGTCACACTCTGAAGTGCTGCTGATTTATTTCAGTTACTTTTAAGCCACCTTTCAAGACTATACAAGGCGGCTTACATTAAAACAAAGATACAGTTTCCATTAAGAACAAACATTGAAAAATACCATTCAAATCACAATAAATCAGTCAGCTAATAAATGTCAATAAACACTAACAGAAATCCCAAAGTTTAAATTGAAACGTTTTGTTAAAAAGCCAAGGAAAACAGGTGAGTTTAAAAAACTTTCTATAACAGCAGAACTGAAAGAGTTGAACTGACCTTTTTAAAGGGAAGGCATGTATTTTCTCTCCAACACGCCTTGAGGGCACTGGGCAACAGTAATTCTCAGTCAATAATGAATTACCTTAGGATGGGTTGCACTACAACTTTTTACATCCATATGCTGTTTTTTTGCTGTGATTTGTGTGTGTATGTGTTGAAATGGTTCATCCGTGCAATTCAAATCTTCTCAAATTTATAAAAATCTGCCTTCTTTTATATTGATGCTGGGAGATAGGGAGCGAGCCAACAACATGACTACCACCTTGGCTGCATTGTGGGATCTGCTCCTTGGTCAGCTAGCAAATGCCAGCTGGGCATGGATAGGAGGTGGAAAGGGAGTGAAGCTAGGTGGCGAATCATTTGCCTTTCATACAAAAGGTCCCAGCCTCAATCCCAGGCATTTCCACCTAGGACTGGGTAAGACTCTGGAGAACTACTGCCAGTCAGTGTAGGCAGTATTGCGCTAGGTGGAGCAAAGTTCTGACTTGCTCTAAGGAATTCAATCCATCTGGTGCACTTCTGGACTATAAGTTCTGGCTCCTGTCCTGATGGGGATGGGGTGGAGAGTTCTTAAATTGCCCTCCCACTCTCCCTAATTCTTGGATGTTTCTTCTGCTTGCTTACTTTGTTATGGGCTAATTGCCGGTCACTGAGTGATAGCGCCAGGAAGGAATTTTACCTGCATTCCTAATCAACAATTGGGTTCTAGGATATTATTATTATTATTATTATTATTATTATTAGCCTTCCTCCCAACAAGTATATTTTCTTTCACAGTGCTTTCAGTCTCTTGCATCAATAATTGTATCACAACTTGCTCTATCGCTGGGGCACTGGGCAGGGAGCATAGTTTGAGAGCAGGTGGGAGTGATTTCACTGAATGCCTTCCTTGGGAGACCCCTTAAGGGCTCTGGGGGTAATGTCTCGCTTCTGGACCATTTTGGGTACCTTGGTACCATTTACATTCTATGGTTGGTCACAGCAGGTAGAAAGAGCAGTCTGCAGTGAAGAAGCTGACTTTCCTCTCGACATCAGTTAGGCTATAAGGCAGGCTGCCAGAATGCTTTGGTTCCCTCAGCCATTCTATGCCAAACGTTTCAACGCTTAACAAACTTTGGGCCTGATTCATTCTTGTGCCTGTTCAGCATTTACACTCACCTCATGACAGCTTCATTTCAACTGCATCTCTGTATCTTCTCCCATTTACTCCTTTATCCTACCTAGCTCCATCTGCAGCACCATTATTCTCTTCCGGGCGTTTCAGCAAGGTTATTTATTTATTTAATATCCCGCCTTTCCTCCAAGGAGCTCAAGGTGGTGCACATAGCTCTCCTACTCCCCATTTTATCTTTACAACAACCCTGTGAGGTAGTTGGGCTGAGATACAGTGACTGGCCCAAGGTCACCCAGTGAGTTTTTTTGCTGAGTGGGGATTGGAACCTTGGTGCCCCAGGTCTGACACTCTAACCACTGTACCACATTGGCTCTCTGCTTTGCAACCTTTTGCTTGGGAAATCTTGATGCTATTGCCAATATACAAAACCATATGCACATACCCACTTTGCCAGTGTTCCATCTTCACATTTTGAAAGAAACTATCCCAGATTTTCCCATGAACATGAGCTATACGTAAATTGAGCCTCAGTAAATTTCCTCTGGTCAGGTTGTTATTTGTAGTATTGATATTGATACAGAAGTGTATCTGAGAACAAGCACAATTCCTTAACATGGACTGCTGTCTGTTGCAGATTTGGAAAGGAGAAGTTAACCTCAGTAAACTTACATGATTTGCAGGGTGTGTTGCTTGGGTGTTCCAAACCTCGGCTGTCATCTGTTCTTGCTTTGAGCTTCCAGGGGTAATTTACATTTGGAAGCATTTCAAGCCGTCCATGCTTTCCGTAATAGTTCCAAATAACCTGTGAAGAAAATAGATATATAGCAAAATGACAGTCTATTTCCAACCAGCTTCTGGAAGTAGGGAGAAAACGGGGGTATATCAGCTAGCTTAATCTCTGTTATATATAACATACACTTTTCAGAATCGCATCCAAAAATCCATCAATTGAAAGACATAATTGCTGGAGCCATACATTTTTGGATCATAAATCCCTCCTTGCCCCATTCTGGAATTTGGAGGGACCAAATGTCCAGCACATAAACTTTTGTTTACTTCACTGAATGGTGTGTAAATTATTGCTGCCATTTGTGTGTGGCTGTCAGAGCTCTTTGGGCTATGTGCTTGGCTCTTGTTCTCTACCACCACACCTCAAACTACTCTGTTTTTCTTTAAAATGTATGTTTACTTGGTCCCAAACTACTCTGTTTTTCTTTAAAATGTATGTTTACTTCATTTTAGGTTCATTTTATTTATCATATTCTAGACACCAAATTATCAGATAAAGATTTGCTGGTCAAGCCTAAATTGGTTTGGCTGCATTCCGCTTAGAAACGAAGGTTTTCATGACCAGTGGGAATGAACCTTCCAAATAAACTAATATTACCACCAGTACCATCAAAGAGAGGTCAGCATTATAAATTAGGATGAGACAACCCCAGCAAAATGAATGATGTCAACAAACACAAAATGGAAAGAAGCTGGAATGTGACATGAGTGAGGCTTCCAAAGGGAAACAGAAAGGATGTACTAAATATACAAAAAAGTCTAATCATGCAACTGCTGGATTTCCTGTCATAGATGAGAGATGCACATGAATATATGTAGAGACTGGGGTCAATGTTATCCTTCCCATGTGCACTTCCCCTCCACTCCAAGGTTTTGGGTTAACAGGCTGTGTCCTTCAGCCTTTCCTCAGATGACTTCTGGACCTGTAATAATCTTTATAGTTCTTTTCTGACATCTTCCATGTTATCAGTCAGTCAGGTCTTTGTGTATGGCCAAGGCAGCACAATATTACACACACAAATCAATCAAAAGCAACATAACTGCAGTACAAACAGTCTGGTTGACACCAGATCAAACCAATTCACTGTCCTTACAGTTAACAGGTTTATATGTACAATTTCCCACCTAATCTTAGCAGTTTATGCAGCAAATTACATTACTGTACTTTATAAGCCATTATTTCCATTTTACCAACATTATTCTTGAAATGTAACTAGCTGCGGCTGCTGACCCCTGAGGCTGGTGGGGTGAAGGACTGAGCAGAGGGCAGGGCAGCTAACTGCAGATGGGGCTGGGGTAGGCAAAGCCAGGGGTCACCATGGGCCAGCCACATGTGACACAGAGATGCAGGCAGGCAACCAGGCAGGCACACATGCAGACACATGCAAACAGTTTAATTGGTGGTGAGAAACAGCAAGATTTGGGTCTGGGAGGGGAAATACACAGGTTAAGGAATGGAGGGGAAGGAAAGAGGGACTAGTGCTAGGCATTCTGATTTTTAGCTCACTGTGACATTCTGATTTTTATAGGATTGCAGTTTAAGGCATTTATATTTTTGAGGCTGAAGTTCTATGTGTTTAACGAGGAGGAAGCTCAACTAAACAGCAGATTTTATGTCTGAATGAATATGCAAAGGATTGTTCTGTATAAGGCAAATAGTTTGATTTTATACACTCACTAGCTATAAGTGCTCCATGTTATATCATTAAAGGTTAAAGCAGTAGAATAAGTTTAGTGCTGATAAGAAATTAAGAGCTGAATATATTTCGGTTTTACCCTGGGAAATTTGCTTCCCATGGCTTCAAAATTTCCAGAAAATTTCACCTCTCTGCTGCCTCATATTTAGTTTCTTGTTCACTGCAACTAAAACCTTCTGAACAATGCCACTGTCTAGGATATATATGATATACATATCTGGATTTTCACTCTAGCATGTAATATTATTGGTTGAATGCTGTCTTTAATTTCTACAGATGAAGACCATGACATTTGTAAACCAAGGACCCTGTAGTGCTATTATGCAATTGTAGTGTTTAATTTCACAGTACCAATACTCAAGGCACTCTCCTTTGGCCTCATTGTATCTCCTGCTTTTGATGACCAGCCTAGCTAAACAAGGTCATGAATACTTTTCATTTTCTTCGAAAATATATGGAGTCTCCCACATCCCTGCACATCAAGCTTTCTTATGAGGTTCTGCTGAAGGGTTAGTAAGAAGGACTTGTAACAGTGATCAGTCTAAATTCTTTCCTTAATTGGTTTAGTAGAAATGGAGACTGCAAGAGACATAATATGTCTTGCCCACGGTAGAGTCAATAAACATTTTGCCACTGAATCCTTGTTCCAGCCTAGCATTTAGCATTATTTCAGCACTTACCTGCTGCATTCCAGTTTCTGGATCAGTCATTGCAATCACAGAAAAATCTCCATATCTTTCTCCATTGGCATCTATGGATACTGGCCCTGCAATGCCTAGAGAGTGGCAGGTGAGAAATTTAAAAATTAATGAGTTGACAGCACATAATGCTTCCAAGAAATGGCAGAATTATTAGAGACTGATATGGCAGGAAACCTCATTAGTCTTCCAGTACTTCTGTTGGCATTCCAAAAGAAATTGTAATTTTACCTCTGGGGCTGCATTCCTAAAATTCCTAACATTTCTTCTCTCTCTCACTCTCTCTCTCTCTCACACACACACACAGCCTGCGGGGCATAAGTCCTATTTCAGAACCCCTATTTTGCTGATTTTTAAAAAGCCATTAAGGGGCAAAATAATTTTACACAGGAAAGTCTAGGCCCTGGAATATTTGAGGAAGCTAATAGTTTAATGTATCTACTCGTCTGAACTCAAAAGGCAAGCAAAGAGTCCTACTAATAATACCTTTATTGTCATTGTACAACCTGTGTACAATGAAATTAAACGAGCCTCCCCCCCCAAACACTCAATCTCTTATCGAATGTATCAATCTCTAATACATTCACCCTTTGAGATGGCATAGCATATTTTGAGAAAGGGTGGCAGCTATGAGGCTAGAAATCCTTAACAGCATGTTAAGTTCTTCCTGCTACCCTTCTATCCTCACAGCAACTCTGTGAAGTAGGTTGAGAGACAGAAACTGGCTTAAGGTCTCTTCAGTCTAAATCCAGCACTACTCACTGCACTACACTGGCTATCTTCATAAGCAGTCCCATGTTTACTGCACTGGTAATATGCATATGGTACTAGAATTTTTAGTTTTTAAAGTAAAATCAACATTACTGATACATTTAGGATAATGGTATCCTGCTTTGTAGCCCTGAAAGGCTCTCTAATTAAGTTAATAAAAGGTTCTTACAATAAAAATCACATTCAAGTTGAGTATCAGGAACAGAAATAACATCATCCTCGGGCTTCTTTGGTGCAGCCCTTCAATTTCTGTCTATTATAATTTTCTATCATTCTTATTTATTTCATTTGTGAATCACTTCCCATAAAACATTCCAAAGTGATCTATACAATAAAAAGATAACTACAAACAATTTCAATTCAGTACAGACACAGATTGGGATTCCCCCCTCCCAAAAAAAAAAGAATCCTCTTGAAAGATTTGTTGGACAAGGAAAGAGCTTCAATAGGCACCAAAATGATAACATAGATACTGCTAATCTGTTATGTGGTGGGAGGGAGATCTGAAGGGTAGGTGCAACCACACTAAAGGCCTGATTCCAACATCATGCAGAATGGCCCTCCTGAGGAAATGGCATCTGAAGGAGGCCCACCCCTGTAGAGTGCAGTGATTGGCTGCAAATATAAGGCATGAGACATGAGACAGCAGAGCCCACTGATGCAAGAGAACAGCTAAACTCTCTTAACCCATGATGGAGACGACTCCTTCCCCTGCTGGTAGTTGGCTAACCCATCACTATTTGTTACTGTCTTTTGATCTACTGAGGTTTGGATTATGTGGATTATTGTTGGGGCTCAATGTGTTGAGCTCCTGGATCAGTAAGGTAAAAGGTAAATAACCCCTGAACGCTTAAGTTCAGTCAAAGGCGACTATGGGGTTGAGGTGCTCATCTCGCTTTCAGGCTGAGGGAACCGATGTTTGTCCACAGACAGCTTTCCAGGTCATGTGGTCAGCATGACTAAACCACTTTTGGCGCAATGGAACACCGTGAGCGAAACCAGAGCACACAGAAATGCGTTTACCTTCCTGCCACAGCAATACCTATTTATCTATTTGCACTGGTGTGCTTTTGAACTGCTAGGTTAGCAGGAGCTGGGACAGGATAAATTTCTTGTCCTTTCCAACCAAATGCCTCTCCATTACTGTGAGAAAGAAAAACTCACTGAAGCCGAGAAAGTGGTCCATTATGTTTTTCATAGCTGTTCCAATTTCAGAACTCATTGTTGGGTTCTTATCTAAAGGAAATATTTCCTTTCAGTTTAAGTACTTCCACTGGAAATTGTGGTAATCTTACACTGTAAGAAATGACAGATGTATCTGGCAAGAGCAGCTTGGTCTTACCAGTAAGGTCCAGCTGACCTTACAAAGTTTAATGCACGGGTGTGTGTTCTGGAGTTTGAACATATTCATAGATTCTAAGATTGGCAGGATGTGGGTGGGGCAGAAGGGCCCAAAAGGTTTGGCACTGAAAACCCTGAACACTTTGGCATGCACAATCTAAAATAGCAAATGGAGACCTTGAAACATTTCTCAATGCACACACAAAAAGCTGTTCAAAATCTAATACAGCAAAGAAAAGGAAGGGGGACTTGGCATTTTTGCATTTTTATTAAACCCAGCTTTTCAGTTATAAAACCTAAATGGAAAAGATGAAGTAATGTAAGGAAGCATGCTAATATATGCACATGAAAGAGTCAAGTGGCTGCAATCTTCAAAAACAAGGAAGGAGCCAAGAACCTTAATGATGACAGCTAACCTATTATTATAAGGGATTTCTTTGTATAAAAAATTACTGACAGTGATGCTATAAAAATATAGACAACAGGGGGCTATTTAATGTAGTTTCTTAATATCTAGTGTGCAGGCAAGCTATCTGTTTAAACATGTCACAGTCTCCATTTTTGTCTGTGTTGTCCCTGTTAATACATAAGTATGTGTAGATAACCAGAGGTAGGGAGAACCTTCCAAATACAATATGTGAGGCATAAGGTGGTATGTAAAGGAGTGATAAAAAGCTGTCACTGCACATTTGGATGGAAACCATTATATTCTTACCTCCTTATTATAAGCTGCCTCTTCTTTTTTGTACCAATAATTATCTACTAGGAATCCTTAATTTATATCTCATCCTTTCAAGGAACCACATTATTCATGGTTCTACCCCCTTCCCCCCCCCCTTTTTATTGCTGGAAACAGCACAGCACAACACAACACAACAAGGGTGGGGGTCTTTTCCACCCTGAGCCCCACATTCCAGCAGTAGGTGTGCCAAAGCAAAAAAGGGAATGGTAACCCCATACGTCTGTGTGTGTGTGTGTGTGCGCGCACCCCCCCACCCCCACTGTAATTTGCATTGGAGAGAAAAGGACTTTTTAACAACCAGTGAGGAATGGACGCTCCCTCATTTTTCACTTTATGGTATGCTATCAGCAGGAGGTGGCAGGTTTTAATTTTAAGAAGCTAGATGGTACAACCAAAAAGTTACAGATTTTCCCAAGACTGGACAAACAAAATTACATCAAACACTTGATTATTCCTACCTTCATATGTCCTATTCCATGTCTGATGGACAATCTTTTCTCCATCTTTCTTAGTGAAGCCATTCTTCAAAACTTCCCGTAAAGCCAGAACATAGAGGATAATAGCATCATGGAATCCTTCCACAAACATGTTAACCTAAGGACAAAGCAAAGCTTTATTATTATACTGGGCCATAACAAAGCAGATGTTTGCAACATTCAGCAAAATCCCACAATTTGTACAAATTGCTTAAGAAACTCAGTTAAATAGAAAAAAACCAAGTAAACGTAGTATGTCTCAGAAAGTGGTAAAAATATACCCCAGCATTTCTCCTTATTGATAAAACATCTACATTCAAACTATGGAGCCAAACAGAATGTCATTCTTCAGAAAATTTTAAATGGGCTATGTACTTTTTCAAGATTATTGTATTTAAGTCACTTATGCCAAGGGTAGCAAGCCTGTGCCCCATGGGCAACATCCTTACCCAATTGTTTTTTTGTGCGGCCCCAATGTTTTTGTTTTAGGAATTTTTTTAAAAAAAGATACTGTATATGTGTGTTTATGTGCGTAAAACTTGGCTGGGGGCAGCAGGGTGAATTTCAGACTGCCTCCAGCAATTAGTTATCAACAAAGATTAGGCAGACATGCACTGGGGTGGCCAACACGGTACCTGCCAAAAGTTGTTGGATTACAGCTCCCATTAATCTCAGCACACATGACTAGCATCCAAGGATAATGGAAGTTGTAGTCCATGTTGGGTACCCTTGCTTTATACAAATCTGAGATCTTAAAACTCTCTACTGGCCTCACTCTGAGTCTACAACAATTACCCTACTTCAGTTGTATGTTTATACACATAATCCTTTAAATCATCTATAACTTTACCTGGAAGTAAGTCCCACTGACCGTATCTACTTCTGAGTAGGCATGCATTGCACTATAACTCTGCTTTATCTTGTTAGGGTAGTGGTAAAATAATCTGTCATTGCTCAAACTGTGAATAGCAGAAATGCTTCAGTGTCTGCTTTACAAAGCACCTTCATTGGCTATGGAAATAGTGTCTCCCCGTTGTAACTGTGGAAGTTTTTTCAGACTGTGCTGGTTATTTTGTTTGTCTAATGATTGCTCTCCCCCAGCTCTAAGCCTCCCTTACACATCTGTGAACTCTGGACTTTGCTCAACAGACTCCTTGTCTGTTGGAATATGAACCAGCAGCATGTTTTCTAAAGCGGTAAAACAATAAATAAAAGTTCCCCATCTTTTGTGGCCCTTTCAGTAAATGGCATGAGCTAAATGAAATGTCACTTTCCACTACAAATCTCCAAAACAACTAAATGGATTTGTGTTTTATAGCAGTACTGTCAGTATTGTCCTACAAGGAATCCAACTGTGAGTGTACTCTCTCAGGGTTGCATTTACTATGCTTGGCCTTTTGGGCAAGCTCCTGTGGATTCAGAAAAGATGTAAGCAGCCCCTTCAAATTGGCAGGATTTGTCTCTAATAGCAAGCTTGTGATACACTTTTCACTGTGTATTGATTTTTGTCTTTTTCTTTTGTTCCTCCAATATGTTTGAAGTACACATTGAAAATTCAAATTCAATATAGCTTTGAAACAAAAGTCAATGTGAAGTAAGAAAATTCAGGTGTGAAGAACGGGATCAAAAGCAAGTAAGAGTAATCAAAAGTAGTGGAAAGACACTTTAAGAATCTTTACTGTCTATTTTAGGAATGCAATGAAGCTGCTTCAAACGGAGTAATATCATTGATCCATCCAGCTCAATATTGTCTACATTGACTGGCTCTGACTCTCTGGGTTTCAGGCAGGGGTCTTTCCCAGCCCTACCCAGAAATACAAGGGTTTGGAGCTGCATACTTTCTGCATGCAAGTGTGTACTGTATTCTACCACTGAGCTACACCCCTTCCCTTTGAGAGTAATCCAAAAGAGGGCTGAATTGCACATTTACTGAGTGTTTACAGGAGAACACCTTAAAGGCAATTTGCTAATTTCAGGAGCTGTATACTTACAATACTTCGTAGAATAGAATAAAAAAACTATACAATAATCTAACAGATGATTTATAAGACTGTTAAGGCAGCAGTTATGTTCAACCAATAACACCAGGTTGAAAATCCAAGATTCCATTTCATTGATGGAGCAATGATGTGACATTCAAACAGTAGGAACAGACAGAACTGTAGCATACAAATTGGGGACATGTGGAATCTCAGCCACGTGAGGCAGGAGAAAGGCTCCACCTTGCCCATAGTCTGATTATCTTTCCATTGGTCATATGAATCATATGTGAAGACCTCTCTCTATGGAAGGCCGATGGAGGCGATGTGGAAAGTTTCCCCTCCTTTGCATTTCAGGTAATGTTTGCTGGAGGGGCAGGACAATTCAGTGGCAGAGAGTGACAGAGCACAGGAACGACCCCCACATCTACAGTCCCATCACTCATGATGACTGGGGCAGAAAGTGTGGGGCCAGCCTATCGCTCTCAGCTATCAAGCTTGGTTCAGGCCTGTATCATTAAGTGGTAGCAAAGATTCCAGTCTGAGCCAGAAAAGGGCCTGAACAAACTGGTACTGATGGAGTATATAAAAGATCTGTGTGTGTTTAGATGAAAGAGAATGTGCATTCCTGTATGGGAGAACAAGCAAAAGCGCACTGTAAAGACTGATTAGTTTAAAGTTAATCTTGAGACTCCTAGAGCCAAACTGGACACGAAATGCAACTTTGCACCTAACTTGCAATATCGAGAAAAATCCTCCTACTGAAGCTGGTATATGCTTTGGGAGGAACCCCAAAGAGATGCCTGCAGCAGAGGTAAATGGCTAATAGGAGAAACAGTGTCAAAAAGGGCTTAAGCAGGAGGGCAGAGGACATAAAAGGTTCTTTGGAGAAATTGGGAGACAGGGTTGCCTACTCCTAAACAAGGGATATCCATGTAGGAGTAGTTCTGATGCCTGAAGGCATTGCTACCATTGCTTATCAGAGAACCCCATAAGGCAAAATAATAAAAAAAATCAGACAACCTGCCACTTACACAAATGAGGAAGATGAAATAGCCCCTGGAAGTGAGCCACCTAGCTACCATGATTTGGTAGTGCCAGATGTTTTATCAGCTCCTTCTGGGCAACTAGATGGTATGCAGAAATAAGAGGGGGGTGGGGTTATGATATTAACTGTCCACTCCCTAGGTCTCAGATATTTATTTAGCTAACAAGCAGGAACAGTGTTATCTTTTGGCACAAGGTTGGCAATTACATCACTGGAATTCTAGCATTTCACTTTCCAGACATTATGGGCGGCTTTCAAATGCAAAACAGTGGCCTGCTCACTAGGGTAGAAAACCTGAAGGTAGACTGTACAACTTCAGGCAGCCAGAGGGGGCTCATGACTACTCTTCCATGAGGGGGTAGCGAAGAATATAAAATAGGGGGGTTCTAACTTAACCTTCCTGGTATGCATTATGAAAAAGATGCCTGCACAAATAAAATTGGCATGAATGGAAGAAGGCTAAACCAGAATTTAGTTCCCTGATATTTAGTTTTCTACTTGAAGAGGGGATTGTGTGGAGAAGCATTCAATCATGTCAGCCCCAACCTACAATCTGAAATAATACAGAACTCCAGACACAGGTTTACCATCTCAGTGAAAACTAGGAACTGGCAGTGCTATGACGTCTAAAAAAAATATGGCCTAGATTTTGGGCAACGAACACTTATTTAGCTTTGGTTTTATAGCACAAGAGTTCAGTACAGATAAAATAAATGGTATTCAGAGACCTCGAAAAGAGTGCAGTTCATTACAAAATTTCAAAACTTCAGCACACTGTGAACACTTAAGATGATTTTGCGATATTGGTGCATGTTGACGAGCCCTTATCTCTTCCTAAGGTCAATGGCATTTCCTTTAGTCCATTCTAAAGATTTCAAAAGGGTGATATGAGGTTACCGTGCTTAGTACTGGCAACAGGAGCAAGGAGAAAGCATGCAAACCTACAGCCCATACACATACTCACTGCACATAGAGGTGGGGGGCAAAGTCTTTTGCTTGAGACCCTGGAGAGCTGATGCCGGACGAAGGCATGCAAGGTGCCAGCCAACCGTCTCAGGGACCTCACTCCAGATTTGTGCAGGGTTTGCTTCTTAGCCTTTTCTTCTCCCAAAGATATCCCGGAAGGCAGCAAAGGTTTAGGATCAGAGTTTTCGTTCTCCTAGGTCTAACTTCCCAGGTTGATGAGCCCCATCTACTCCTCACTTCCCTCTACTGCATGTGCAGAAACTGCATTGTATCATAATGCTTATATTCATAAGCGTTTGGGAAAGTGCCCATTTTTTTTAGTGAATTGTCATGCATTACAGATACATAAGGTGCGGAGATTTCCTTAAGCATTTGGAGTCTTAAATTCCGTAAAGGAACAGGAGCAGCTCAAGAAAGTTTGTCCTCTGAGGCAGAACAGCAAATGGCACTTGCCCTCCATTTACTCTCAGTCAAAGTCCATAGTACCTAAGCTTGGCCAAATTATTTTGGCACCTGAGACTGAAGATCCCACACCAGCCTTTTTCCTGCGAGTTAAAATACAACAAAAAATAAATTAAATAACTAGCAATTCTGCCTTTTTGTTAAACCTAAAACCCACTGCCTGAGGTGACTGCCTCATTTACCTGTAATACCATAATAGGTACTTTGGGCATTTTATCTGACACAGAAAGGTGGGCTAGAAATGTTTTAATTTTAATAAATAAAAGTTCATTTGTAGTGTAAACATGCCCTAAGGGTTATGCTTCCTTTGAATAGTCACCTTGTTTTTGTAGCTCTAGGAGGTAAATTAATTTGCTTTGATTCATTTCTGGTTGCTCCCCACCCTTACATTTCAAAGTTGAAAATTTACTGATTTTGGAACAGCCACAAGCCTGTCCTTTTGATGCAGTATAAATCTATCCTGCCCCTGGTCTGTGCAAGAGCGCTACAGTAAAAAAAGGGGATTATATATATATACCACAGTGACAAATAGCTTACAAACAAGGAAGCAAAGTCCTTTATCTGCAAACAGTAGATCTTATTGGGGTTCCCAGTTGTATCTTTTTTATTACCACACTGTTTTTGAAGTGATTAACCAGAAAATAAATGGCTGTAAGCTCCTGGCAATGTTTACTTGTAAACTTACAATAAATCCCATAAATATTACCCCCCCACACACACATACATCACCAATGGTTCCTCTTATTGTCTTCCTACTATTGAAAAACAAATTGCCACTTCATTAGATTTAGGATCCGATATGAAGCCAAGGTTTGTTTTTTAAAAAATGGATTTAAATAGGCTTTGAATCAAGCTCTAGGAGAGACAGACCCTTTGGCTCTGCATCAGACATCCCATTCCTTCCAGAATTAAGCTGACATCACTTTTTGTTACAAAGAGCAAAGGAAAGCTAGGTTGGTTCTATTTATCCTTACTCTATTTGTTCTCTGAGTGGCCAGCCATACTCAGTAAGGTTCACAAGCAGGGCACACTGGCAGTATTTGTCTCTTGATAATCCCAAACACTTGTCAACCAGATAGATGATGAAAAGGTGGTTATGTTAGGCTAACACAGGGTTGGGGGTTGGAAGAGGAGCCTGCTGGATCAGGCCAATAGCCCATCTAGTCCAGCATCCTGCTCTCACAGTGGCCAACTAGATGCCGGTGGGAAAGCCACAAGCAGAACCTGAGCTCATGAGTGCCTACTCCACACCTGCAATTACCGTATTTTTTGCACCATAACACTCACTCCCCCCCCCCTAAAAAGTAAGGGGAAATGTCTGTGCGTGTTATGGAGGGAATGCCTACGGGTGGCATGCCTACGGATTTTCCTCCTCTAAAAACTACGTGCGTGTTATGGTCGGGTGCGTGTTATAGAGCGAAAAATACGGTAACTTTCATTGTTATCTGGTGTTCAAAAGAGGCATTGACTCCTATTATTGTTGTTATAGGAATTCTAAGGTCTTATATATATACAATAAATGTTCATAAATGTACAAGGTAAACACATACATAAGTATATAAGCCACGTGTCTGAAATAGCACAGAACAATCCTGAAGCCATTCTGACACTCCCAAATTGACCTCAAATATTTCTCTGCAAGGAGGAAGGAAATGGGAAAAGCTTTCCAATTGTCTTTGGACTGTAGGGGCTTATACCTCCCTGTAAATACAGTCTGGCAAGTATCTGTTAAGCTGAGCACACTATCAATATGCATAAGAGATCCAGGAACTAAATATTTACCATCTCAACCAGGCTACCCAGAAAAGGCAATCAGATAAGGCATTATCAGGTATCCTGGCAGACAGGAGAGAAGCAACACACTCAAATTGTTGCTAGGGACCACCTCTTTCTGTGATGTATGTATGTTTTGGGGGGTGGTATCGAGCTACAGGGTAGGTAATTTCAAAAGTCTTTATAATAGCTTGCACACCAATGTTCTGGGTTCCTCTCCTCCCTCCATACGTGGAGTAAGCGGGACCCTGCTGCAACAGTTTAATAAAGATCATGCTTACTAGCTGCCTTGCTTCTCAATATTCTCTGGTTGGCCTTTGTTATTTTCTCCTACTGATAGAGAACTTACATAAGGACTCTATACGGGCTTTTGGATACCCCATAAGGGAAAAAGGAGCAGTTTTTTCTTATAACATTATTGTTACATGTTTATTGCTCCCTGTGAAGATGAAGCTTGTATTTAACTTGTACTGGATTATTGTGTTCTGAGTGTGCATGCTCACTTTCATTTGGATACCCCATGTGTTCAAAACACTGTGCAGTATACACAGTGGCATAGCGTGGGTTGTCAGCACCCGGGGCAAGGCAAGTAATTTGCGCCCCCTAACCCAGGGCAAGGCAAGTAATTTGCGCCCCCTAACCCGGGGCAAGGCAAGTAATTTGCGCCCCCTAACCCCTAACCTGCCGCCGCTGCCAGCTTCTTCTTGCTGCTGCCTGGTCTGGTCTGGTGTGGTTCTCTCCCGTGCTCAGCGCTGCGCTGGGCAGCCGCTGCACTGTCCCTCCCCCAGATAGTCCCTCGCTCTCTCTCTGCACCCCCTGACACCCACCCCCTCCACAGTGGGAGGCGACCCAGCGGCTCGGATCGGATTCGCACAGCCAGCACTGCAGTGAGAGAGAGTGAGTGAGCCAGGTAGGGGCAGAGAGCTGCAAGTGCGAGCGCCCCCCCCGATGTTGCGCCTGGTGCGGCCGGCCCCCCCTGCACCCCCCATGCTACGCCACTGAGTATACACAGCCTTTAGACCCTTGGGAGAAAGGCAGATTATCTACCGTATTTTTCGCTCTATAAGACGCACCAGACCACAAGACACACCTAGGTTTTGGAGGAGGAAAACAAGAAAAATATTCTGAATCTCAGAAACCAGAACAGCAAGAGGGATCGCTGCTCAGTGAGAGCAGCAATCCCTCTTGCTGTTCTGGCTTCTGGGATAGCTGCACAGCCTGCATTCGCTCCATAAGATGCACACCCATTTCCCCTTACTTTTTAGGAGGGAAAAAGTGAGTCTTATAGAGCAAAAAATGTGGTATGTAATACATAAAAAATATGGCCAGTGAGCAAACAGAGAATGCTAAACATTCAAATTAAATCAAAGGCTGTGCTTTGAGTGGGCCAAAAATCCACACACAGAGACATACACAAAAGGCCGCTACTAGAGACATTCAATCTCAACTAAACTACACAACCAGGAACCCAACGCGACTCAACCCTCATGCTCCAGAATGGAATGTGGCATCCCTCGCTGTGGCTTGTGTCTTCTCAAAGCTTCCTCACTGGGTACGCACCATTCTGTCATTGGCTGGCACTGATTGGGCTACTGTCATGCATACAAAGGCTGCACAGTCTCAGTTGGGAGGTGTGTGTGGTAATTTGACCTATAGTCCAGCACCACCCAGAAGGTCACAGGTTCTGCATCCTGGCTAAAAGATTATTTCTGGTTGAAGACACCCAGTGAGCTTCGTGGCCCCACAGGGTTTTGAACACAAGCTTTCTTGCTTCTGTCCATCCACTAGACTATACTGGTGGTAACAGCTAGTAATAGTTCTCCTACCTCTCTTTGACTACAAAACCCCTTACTATGTCACCAAAATTAGCTTTCTGCATGATTCATTCACCAGTTATCACAAATCCACATGCTAGCTAATTTGGAAAACAGCAGCTACAGAATTTACACCATGGAATGGGCATGTCCACCCCAAGTTAAATGTGTACCGACATGGTCCTAAAACCGATGCACATTTCGGATTCTCTGCACATCTTTTTTTTAAACAAACAAACAAACAAACAAACAAAGGTCTGTGGCAGATCTTAGAGCCACTGCACTTTTAGCAACTGGTATCTCTCATATCAGCGATATGTAAGTCTGTACAATAAAAACCACAGGAAAGTTAAAACGGACATCAATTAAACATTGTGGAAGGATGTATTCTTAATTGCCTGCATAGGCCTGGGGGAATAGAGAAGTTTTCAGAAGATGTTTAAAAGTTGGCATAGCAGGCCCATGTGTGTGTGTATTTCAACTGTTGATTTAGAAAATTGGAAACAACTGGGGGTTTTTAGGTTAGTTTTTTCTGTTTTTATTTTTTGTATTCTTGTGTAGCTACCTTTTTTTTTGCATCTGTTTTTGTATTGAATGAAAATAAGAGTATAAATATACCGTACTTATTTCTGTATTATACTGTATTATAATTAAATCATTTTGAACTGTATGTAACCATTACTAAGTTTATATAACTTTATTTAAAAACAAACAAAATACACCACTATGGCCAATGGACAAGGACACTTTAAGAGTCACTGCCATTGCAGAAATCACACATACGACACACAGATGAAGTCACTAGTTCATACAAATGCCTCATCCATTCAGCCCCTGTGGTGGCACACTCCCAATGTTTATTACACTGGAGCTGTCTTCTCTGCAAACTTGTTCTAAGAATCCCAAAAGTCAGAAAATATGCACTGATTAAAATAGATCTGACAACAGAGGTGCTTCAAGTCTTGAGAGAGAACTAGGGTTGGAGGAAAATTTCATCCTGCATTTTTAAGTGAACTGACCTAATTCACACCTCCTAGATTAATACATAGATTGGAGCATGTCCTGAATTTTGCAATGGAGTTCTAAAAACATACCAAAACCAATTAAAAATGTGTAATTAAGGCTAAAGTAACCTTAGACATGCATGAACCACTATAAAAAATGTAGTTAAAAATGTTTGAGATACATATGGAATAACATGCATTTAAATATTTAAATATTTATCTTCATACTTTTTAAAAAAAAAAATCACATTAATGTATAATCAAGGCAAAACTGCCTTATGAATGAACACATGTGAAACTGACCTGAAATCAAATCAGACAGATCTGTCCATTCCTATTCAAAACACACAGGCATAGCTTTCTTGTGTTTCATTCTCTCAGTTTGAGGCTGTATTGCAAGAACTTCGAATTCAGATAATCAAAAGTTTATATTTTGGTTTTGGGTACACAGAAAATAGTACTATAAAGTCTTAAAGTACCACAGGACCAAACTAATGGTTTGAAGGTGCATAGGATGTTCCATTACTGGATATGTTCCATTGTGCCAGAAGTGGTTTAGTTCTGCTGGCCACATGACCCGGAAAGCTGTCTGTGGACAAACGCCGGCTCCCTCAGCCTGAAAGCAGAGATGGGTGCCGCACCCCATAGTCACCTTTGACTGGACATAAGTGTCCAGGGGCAGCGGTGGAGTTAGCTGCATGAACACCCGGAGCAGCGGCCATGCCGTGCACCCGGTGGGGGCGTGAGCTGCGCCGGGGGGTGACGGTGTGATCCGCTGCACGTTGCCGCGCACGGGGGCGGCAGGGCGAGCCCCCCATGGTGTGCCTTTTTTGTCACCCCCTCAGGGATGACACCCAGGGCGCGCCGCCCTGCCCCCCCTTCCTACGCCCCTGTCCATGGGTCCTCTAGCTTTACCATTTTTAAACCTGGGGACTGCTTCTTTATGTGCTGCTTGGAGAAAGAATAGAATGCACATATACTCAAACTAGTTTGGAGAAGCTTTCAGTAAATGGGGACTAAATGTAAGCCTTGGAGTTCTAATATTGTTGGTTTCAGGACGGGGAATTCTGGTGTGTTTTTACAAGTGCTGTTTTAAATTGTTAAAGTATATTTTTAATTGTTAGTTTTGTTTAACCAACACTAAGACTTTGTGGAAGGACTGGGTGTGACTGCAAATATATCCAGGGAACACCAAGTTAACATAGATTAATTACATAACCCTGCCCAAATTAATAAACTCAATTTTCTTAGGAGCCCAGGGTGAGGGCATTTCTCTCTCTCTCGCAACATTCAAAGCCACAAAAACAAGGTAGGATCTAGCCCTGCAAATATGTGCAATTTAAAGATGTTGCCTTAAAAATGATTAGACACGGTCACGGAGGATAGCTCAATCAACAGCTATGAGTCATGGTGGCTAAATGAAACCTCTGTGTTCAGAGGAAATGTATCTTTGAATACCAATTGCCAGGGGGAACAGCAGCAGCAGCAGCAGACAGTCCTCTTACTTTTGTGCTCCCTAGCAGATTTTGACCTGCCACAATGGAAAACAGTATGCTGGACTAGATGAGCTTTTGGTCTGATATGCAGCAGGGCACTTCTTACATCATGGATGGGTGGCCTTCTAGATGTTGTTGCATTGTAACTCCCATTGGCTATGCTAACTAGGACTGATGGGAGTTGGAGTCCAACAACAACTGGAGATCCACAGGCTCTCCATCCTTGTCTTGTCTTAAATTGTTATGTGTGCTACCATTGCGCGCACATGTTTGCTAGAGAGGTCACAACAGTGCAGGCTTAACTTTTCATTATGTACCATTTCAACTTCTTAAAAAAAAAAATACACACAACTCCAGAATTTTGAAAGTCACTGTTATTATATATTTGAATGAAGCAGAATTAAGGAACAAATTAGATGTCATATTAAATACATCTTTGCATTTAACACACAAGCTTTTTAATACAAACCTGCTGGTGTGGTGTGTAAGTGTGTATTGCGGAGAGGTGGGGTTTAACTCTTTCTTCCCCTAATATGATCCTAACAAAAGTCTATCAATGGGAGATTTTCTCTCATTCAGACAGTGGCCTCAGAAGAGTGATTGTCAACTGCATGAAGGGCGGAAAGGTTTAACAATTCCCCCGGCTCTTGCAACCCCAGTAATTATCAGCTGCTATTAGCTGCATTTTAGAACACTTGCATGCTAAATGCATTTAACATCTAGTTTGGCCCTAAATTTCAGGTGTCAGAAATGGTAGCAGTCAAAGGTTAATGTATTGGGGTAGGTACAGAATTTGTACTGGGAGCATGAAGGCATTCATATAACACAGTACAATGTTCCTCCAAACTTAACGTTCCTAAATATATAAGTTTAGTCATAGCTGTAAAGGTTCACAGTGCTCAGAAGGTCTCATTGCCCTCAGGAGATTTCTCATTGGGACAGACGTTTTTAGCATCTAATGGAAACAGAAAGCTCAAAACACACAGCTTTTCATTACAGAGAACCAAACCACAGTATGGACTCAAATATCAATGCAGGTTCCTTCATTTGGGGTACAACATGTCCAGCACTGAGGGCTACACTTGAAGGATACCGCACATGAGAGAACCGATTCTACTTTGTATATTTTTCTTTCACATGTTGCATTGCTTGTACATAATCTTTCCTATGCCCTCCCTTTTCAAAACGTTTAACTTTAATCGTGAACAATACATGAGTCCATAATAGGACTCCGTAATAGGACTCCATCAAAACAAATTGGGCCTTTTCCACATCATATTTTTTTGACTTACCTTAAACAGAAGGGCTGCAGGCTTAGGATGAAATCCACATTTCATTCAAGCTAAGGGCCACAGATTTTAATAAGAGTTGGACCCCACGCCACAAAAATATGCCTCAGGTAGGATCCATTTGTTGCCTTCTACTGAATTTTATCTATTTTGTGCCATAGCATTTGCAATTCTTTAAGAAGATTCCACAGTAAGTTCAACGGTGTTGATATACACACATTTCTTTTGGCACATAGATGTGCTACTTAATAATGCCCCTCTAGGCCAGAAGTAAGCATAGCAAGAGCTATGTGGCTCCTACCAGAAGCAACATCTCCTCTTTCCCCTCGCAGCCCCTGTAATGTCTAGTACTACAGAAAACATGACCTGATATTACTTACTGTTCCCATATCCACAAGTGGCAGACAGTGCAGTGGAGTGCAAGTGTGGAAACTCACAGCACAATGATGTACTGCTACACTTAATACTAAGCATTAACAGAGGACGACTACACATTGAATTGCTGCTTTTGGTGATGAGCGCGTGGCTCCTATATCTTCCAGCTCTGGCAGGATTTAAAGCTGACTGTTACCATGTCTTTGTTCAACACTGCTTTGTGGTTGTTTTTGATCCTGCCACTAATCTGCTACTGCTGGTGTATGAATTTTGTATTTTCTTATTATATTGTTGGCTTCATTTTGATTTTGTAAACCACTGTGGATCTCTTTGATTAGCAATGCAGAAATATTTTATGAAAGAAAAAAACTGGCATTGGCACAGCTCTTATGCCCTGGGTTTGAAGTTGATTAGGTCTGCAGAATGTGAATCTATCAAAACTGCCTTGCAAAAACGTATAAAAATCCTTCAGTTACAACTTAACCTACACCCTAGCCGTATGTTACCATAAAATTAATTCCAAGCCTCAACAACACCTTACAGCAAGGATGGTTATACCTTAGAGCAGTGGTTACTAGTCATGGTGGCTATGATCTGCCTCCTTGGTCGAAGGCAATAATGCTTCTAAATATTAAGTTACTGGAAACTACAAGAGAGGAAAGTGCTCTTGTGCTTGGGTTTTGCTTGTGGGTTGTGCCAGCAGGAACAGGATGCTGGACAAGATGGGCCATTGACCTGATCCAACAGGCTCTTGTTATGTTCCTATGGGGAACCTGTGGTCCTCTAGATGCTGTTGGACTACATACTTCCATCATCTGTGACCATTGACCATGCAGGCTGGGGCTGATGGGATTTGTAGTCCAGGAGGGCTGCAGGTGGTCCTCATCCCTACTTTATAACAATATGTTGAATATACTACCAGGTTAGTTTTCTTCCAATCCTACTTGCTCTAAATGTCTCCAAGTATTGCATTCAAAGGAAAAGATGTCTATGTTCTAACACTCTGAGATTCCAACTGGGGGTAATATGCTGAAAACCAAGGATTAGGTTGCTAAACTACTAAACATAACATTGAATGCGCCTGGCCTGGGTAGATGTAGTCTGTTTCAAAATGTCCACATAAACAAGGGACAAAAATGCATTGGGGCATAAGGAAAAATAAGAGTGTAATTTTATTCATTGTCAGTAAACATCAGATATCTTGGGCTTTATCCTCTCAAGAAAGATAGTGGGAAAGCTCTTGCTGACTTTGGTGGCTATACAGTCATGCCACAAACTTCTAATTAATAGTGGATTGATTCTGTCAGTAAAACATAAGCTGCAATGTGAATTCGGTTTTTCTTGCCACTGAAAGCAAATCTGCGGTTTGCTTTTATTCTTTCAAAGACAATTAGCAAAGCACTCCAGATACTGAAAAGTTCTATTCATTTGTACAAATTATTCCTTGGCAGCAGCCTATTTATTTCCTCTCCTTTCTCTCCTGATGCATTTAAAAGAGGACACAAAAGCCTGCCTGTCATTAATCCTACTTGGCTGGTTTGGAAAAAGACAAGTGGTGCACACACCACTGAACATGTAACATTTTTGCTTTCTTTTAAAGAGATTTTTAGGAAGTGCTTAGCAATCTTCCATCACCTCCACTCTCTGTGACTGTATAGTCCCAATTAATGGATAATGTTTTTTTTTGGGGGGGGGTGCCTGTGTGTGTGAGAGAGAGAGAGAGAGAGAAGTTGGGGGAATTGGAAGACAGATAAGTGGGAGTATTTGGCATGGAAATTATGGACCAGCTGACAAGCATTCCAATTTCTGCTGCCTCCCATGTAGCTTTTTAAAGATAATCAACACAATGCTAAATTGTTGCTTCAGAGGACTGGCAGTGCCTTCAACTCTCATTGACAAATGTTGTCTAACTGACCTGCTCATTAGAGAGAGAGAGAATATCTGATTAAAATAATTAATTTAATGCACTGGTGCACATTCTTTCAACAAGAAAAGTTATAAATCAAATAAGGCCTGCTCTTCATTCTCTCCGACATTAGTGTTGCGGAAAGCCTCTTAAGAGTGACAAAACTCTGATCCCACCAAACAATGCAACCCCGCTCTATCCAGCCAACCTTGCTGGAATGTTTGTTAAATTAGTTAATTTTCCCCTTGCTTTTAAATGAGAAGAAAAAACAAGCCATGGGTGGCCTTGCTAACCTCAAAAGGCCAAATAGCCAAGGTTATAAAATCATCCCAGCTCAGAATACTGGATCTGAAATAAAAGCAGCATTTATTAAATTCTACCCCCAAACCAGTAACAGAGGTAGCATTAATAATTTTGAAAAGCAAAGCCTAAGCCAATTTCCTGTAAGAGTGCAGAATCATTTAATAAAAATGGACTGTGCCTGAACTTTAACTGAAAAACAATTTTTAGTAAACTAGGTATGTCAGGATCTATTTTTACTCTGGGGTTGTCCTTACTTTTTACAGGCATAATAACACTATAATGGGTACAAGCCATCACACACTCATTTTCTTATGCATATTCAAATCATACCCCTCTTCAGCACTCATATATTATAATATTAATGTTTTTTTAAAAATTGAAATTGTGGTTTTATAGCATGAAGAATGGACAAATTCTTCATTTGTTGCAATACACTTGTTCTCCAGCCAGTAAGGGAAATTTGTGTGCATGTTTTGTGGTGGGGGATTCACACATCTTCCCACAGCTACTGCTTCCTTTGTAGCCAAATTGCACTTTGCCAGCAATAGAAATGTGCAACTTTCCTAACATCTAACCAACTGCAGGTGTGCCTGGAGGAAGAAGATTATCTGGACCCATTTCATTCTGGCTTCAGACCCAGTTCCAGCACTGAAACATGGATGACTACCCCAATTGATGACCTTTTATCTTTAAGTGGCTTTTGACAGAACTGTCTGTGACGTTCTTCTGAAGCTACTCAGAGGAGCTGGAGGCAGTGTGTGGCAGTAGTTCCACTCTTAACTATAGAGAGCAGCACTGGAAACTTTTTCTCAACCCCATGGCTATTAGGCTGTAAGGTTCCTCAGGGGTCTATTCCATCCCTTGTGCTATGAAACCACTGAAAGCTGTCATCTGGGGATTTGTAGCACAATATCATTAGTATGCTGATGGCATGCAGCTCTACCTCCATGCCATATAAATCAGCAAAGGCTGTACCAGCTACTAGACAAGTGGGGGCTGGAGCCGGTGGTGGGCTGGATGGGAGCCAATAAACCAAGGCTGAAAATGATTAAGAGGAAGGTGCTGTGTGTAGGCAGTTCTCATGTTAGGGAATTAGGCAGGTAGCCTGCTCTGGGGATGGTTGCACATCTGAAGGAGCAGGTGTGCAGTCTCCTTAATACCAATCTGTCACTAGAGGCTCAAATGGCTTCTGTGGCAAGGGATGCTTATTCTCCACTACAGCTGGCTAGTTCGCTGCAGCACTTCCATTTGGACTACTTCAATGCACTCTACATGGGGCTACGCTTGAAGATGGTCTGAAAGATGCAGTTGGTGCAGAATGTGGTTGCCAGGATAGTGACTGGGGCAGTACAGCTGGACCATTCATTAGTATCCCCGTGTGTCCTGTTTCAGGCCAGGTCCCAGCTAGAGAGGGTCCACAAGGCCCACAAGCAGTCCAGGGACTGGGCAAACAGCTAGCAATAAAGGCAAGGGCACAGGCCAAGGACAAGAGGCAGTACACAGCGTGGCCACACAGATAGGTGTTAAGGCCAGGTGTGTAGCTGATGGAAATACAGCTCTTCTACCCAGGTACTTTTGAACTGGAGCTGCTGGAACCATACCAGGGTCCTGCTGAATTCTACCAGTTGTTATCAGAGAGAGGTCTCCTCATGGGGAGGACCTTGCCTCCGAAGGAGTCTTTTCCTGAATTATGGCACTTCTTTTTATGGGGCAGGTTTCCACCTCTCATTTAAGGAACTGTTGTTCACGTGGGCTTGGGGACCATTCAGCCTCAGCTTCTTGGACAACACTCCCTGCCTGTCTGGTTCAAAAGCCCTGACTCTGAGGTGCTTTTCAAATGTATTTTACATTGTTTTAAATCCTGTGTTGTTTTACATTGTGATGTAAAGCTCTGGGCTTCTTCAGGGAAAATGTATAGGTAAAAATCTAACCAACAACAGCATCTCAAAGAAACAAAAATCAAAACCAAATGTATGTCATTTGATTCTGAAAAGGTTGTAGTTTCTGTTAACTAAGAAAAACAGAACCAGCTTCTGCCCTTGGTAAACATGTACAGTGTCTTTTGGATAAGAAAACAAACAGTGGGGTACTTATATTTTGAAGAGACCATGGCATTATTGAAGCTTCTATACATATACCCTATCTAATCCATGGATTAAAATCTCTTATGGGTGCCCTGTTATGTAAAGTTCAGTAATAGTAATCTAGAGGGAACCAGATTTATGCAGTTGCTTAAGATACTGTTCACCTTCCTCTACAAAACAATAGACTATTGAGAAGAAATTTCATATGCTCGGGGCCAGATTCTGTAAGCTTTAAGTATGCTGGGCATGCCAACTTGGGAACAAATCTTTGTGCTATAGATTTGTGTAGTTTTGGTGTTTACTTTTAACAATAGCTATCTCAGGGCTTAAAGCTGGAGTCATAAAATGACAGTTTGTAATTTTACCACCAGCTAAGGAATATGTGGGTGAGGCTACACTTGGCTCCTGCCTGTAAAGCATCATGCTTCTGAATTAGTGAATTAGACTGCAAACATAACCTCGCATACCTGGGAGTAAGCTTCACTGAATTCAGTGGGACTTAACTTCTGAGTAGGCATGCTTAGAATTGTAGCTTTATGTAAATTTCCAGGATCACAGGAGGGAAATAATGGAACCATATAATATATTAAGAAACTTCCATCAGAATCAGAAGACATCCTTTTTTCCTATCTCTATGGGATTTTAGAAAGGCTATATTACCACCTGTCAGGTAAATGGGAATAGGCAGGAGTCAGCAGAAGAACTGAATTACAGTACATTTTCAGGAGGCCTGCCTTTCATCTTTCCTCCTAGTTTGGCTTGTTGAGTCAATACAGTCCAAAGTTAAGGTGTATTTATGATGGCAGCTTACTACCATTGGAATTGTCCCCCCATTGCATGTTATTAGCAGTAGTTTGAGGTTACATTTTACTGTGTGATTTAAGAGAACATACTGCTATTTCCACTGTGTTGCTTAAAAGACTGCAGATGGCTCTTGAGAACTGTTAACAACTCTCTGTCCTTCTGAGCAGAGTTCCTATTCAAGGCCAAGGTTGTATTCTTTTGCACCAAGGCAGAATGAAAAACTGTAAATCAACTCTTTATGCTTTTGTTAGCAGGACTTGAGATAACATACACACAATTATGAACAAATGCAGCAGCTTTCATTGACAATCTTTCCTGTTATGCTGTTTTCAGAATGGGAAATCAAACGCAAGTGTGCTTATTTATTGTGAGGCACTTGAAATCACATGGTCACCTAATATTAAAGGGCCCTAACAAAGCTGGGTGTTTCAGGTGAGAATACTGTCTAGAGTTAATATTTTTGGGGTTTCCCCATCAGGCACCAATTCAGGGCCTGTTTAGTTTTGCTTTTTACAAAGCTATGCTTAAAAAATAAATAAATCCTACAGCACGTGTTTAAATAATTCAAGTTTACATTAATATTACTCCATACTGATTTACTGCCTCGTTAATAGACTGGCAAGACAGCAATGGCAAGACAATGCAAGAGGATATCTGTATCACTTTAAGGACCCTGGAAACAGGTTATCAACTACATTTGCAGATGCAGTCTACCTTACAGTTGCTTTATACTAACACAGTGTTCCAATTCTGAAAGAAGTACAGTTGAGAGAAACATTGTTACCTGTTCAGTGTTAAGATTTGCTCGCACAGGAAATTCCAGTTTGATGAGAGACTAACAATAATATATTGGCCAACTGGCTGTAACTGAGGAAGACTGACTTCTATTTAGGAAGCTCTACTACTCTCCTCAGGAAGGCATCCTTGGACTTTCTTGGAATTCAGTATTCCGGACAGATTAAACTAACAGAGATCCTAAGCACACTTAACTTGCAACAAGTACATTTCACTGAAATCAGCTGCATCTGTTGGAAATGAACCAAGGAGGAACCAAAATCTTCCCCCCAAATTGGCCTGACATGCTCCTCCCAGACTAACTCATGAATCAGAACAAAGCATTTCTGCCACCAAGACTGTGTTTGAAATGGAACTGACAAGATCCCTGTGATCAGGTGTGGGGGAAGATGGTTAACTGCAACAGTACACACAGTTGTGGAGGCAGATATGCTTGGAGTGGTTACTTTGACTGTTTTTTGAAAAGGGATTAAAATGTTAAAGACAGCTCTTCAACCACTTTTAAAATACAGTGGTACCTCGGGTTACATACGCTTCAGGTTACATACACTTCAGGTTACAGACTCCGCTAAATAGGACCTCGGGTTAAGAACTTTGCTTCAGGATGAGAACAGAAATTGTGCTCCGGCGGCGCGGCGGCAGCAGGAGGCCCCATTAGCTAAAGTGGTGCTTAAGTTAAGGTTAAGAACAGTTTCAGGTTAAGAACGGACCTCTGGAACGAATTAAGTACTTAACCTGAGGTACCACTGTATGCAAGTATGTTGAATACGATGCTCGTGTTTAAACACAAACTTTAATGTGCTTTTTAGTTTCAAAAATTCACTAATGCAATGTAAAGTACAGGATGGATTCAATAACTAACACATGCAACGAAAACAGACTAAGAAGTAGACTGATCCAGCCATTTCTACCCTGGGACCCTAATGCTGCTATGGTATATTGTTATTCATATTCCAATGCCAACATCTTAATATAAATTTCCAGTACAGTCCTTGGGAGGTATGTAGATGGCCTTAAATTAGGTTTATTACTTGTGGAACTCCAGCGTGCAACTTCCCTGTCTCCTCTCCCTTTTCAATGCTATGACTGAACTCCTATGTTCTCTTAGGTCATGCTCACAACATTTTCTTAAAGCACATTGACTTCCCCCCAAATATTCCTGTGAACTGTAGTTTGTTTAGGGAGCTGGGGTTTGTTGTTTGGGGGGGGGACTATGGTTTGCACAATTATTTTAGGGTAAACCATGTTTGCATTAAATGTATGATGTCAATGTGACACCATACTGAGGTTGCTAACACTTGTAGCAGTTTGGCATTAAATGCTAGGAGGACAGCTACCATTCAAAGCAACATTTTCAGACATCTTAGCAAAATATAGCATTATACACCTCTCCTGAATGGCCTATCATGTTCTCACACAGACCATGTTCTGTATGGCTCCTGGCCTGGGCGGTGGGGTGGGGCAGAAGCTCCCCGCCCCTTTGGTTCAAAAAAGAAAAGAAACCTTCACATGTCCTAAGAAGTTTAATTACAGTGGAGCTTTAAACCCAAATCTGTATAAAACAGATTTAAAGGTCTGCTGCTAAAAATGATTTGCATTTGGGGGGGCATTAGAAATTACTAGATGTACTGTGTCCCATTAACCTTTTGTGGAGGGACATACAAAATGGATTTTAGTTCCAAATGATTGCTTCCACTATCTACAACTACAAGGAGTTGGTAGACTTTCAATGAGGGCTGTGCCACATCTGACACAGAACTTTTATTCCTAACAGAGCTCCATAGAGGGTGTTCTCATGGGGAAAAAGAAGGTGAAACAGCCGAGATTACAGTTCAGTGCCTCCGAACAGGCAAAACTCTGGTGGGGTGTTTTTTAAAAAACAACAAAAACAAAATCCTCTGACACCCTGCCTGTCAAATGCTGCATTCAGGAGCTGCAATATAAAGCCAGTGTAGAGAATGGAAATTGCTGTAGTGGAAAAGTCTTGCACTAATACCAATGGGCAACTGCCTGGATTTAACACGGAATATTTGAAATCACTTGCTGAAAGTGTCTCTGGAACATCTAAGAACACTTCATTCACTGACATACAATGGAATATTTATCAAGGAACTTGGCATTTCTTAAAGGGTTTATTAAAGAACTTTACATGTGTCCCCATTGTTATGTTTCTTTATGTTCCATGCCTAAAATCTTCACAAGATAAAACACTTGGGGGGTTTTCAGGAAGTAATTTCTCCCCTACAGAAAAGGGTGGTATCTAACTGGTGCCCTGTGCTGACAGAAGGCATCTGGAAGTGGACAGAGAGGGGGGCAATTTTGTGCTATTTCCTCTCCCCCCCAATATAATCCACCCTCGGGGACTTAGTTTTAGGGGGCAGATTTTAAGGGACTGCAGGGGCAAAGCGGAAAATTCCCTCCCTCCCTTTTCTGCTCGGAATGCATTCCGCTAGCAGAGGGGCACCAATTGGATGCCACCCGAACAGTATACATTTCATTTCATTTTACTTTTAATGTTAAGGAAAATTGCAACCAAGTTATAATTTAAAAACAGAAAACGGCGACAACGGATGTTACTGCTAATTGCTTTGGACTGACCATTTTGAATCTTTAACCTGGAATTATCTTCCTCTTAATCACATTGCACTATCTACAAACAGCTGTTACTTACACTCTAGGAACCGAATCATTATTCATCTCCTGTAAAGACAGGCCTCACCCATGGATGGAGAACAACATTTTTTGCTCAAGCGCTGTTCATAACTGACGCTGCAGAGGAGCTACGCCATAGCAGCAGTCAGGATGGCCAGGAAAGTACTTATAGCAATAGCCACAGGCGGGCCGCAGAGCCAAGCAGGCAAGCATAATTGCCTAGAGATTTTTTTAAAAAATTAAATGACTCATAAATGGAATAAAATAAATGAATAAAAGAGAGATGGCTGGTGTCAGAACCTGGGACAGCGATGGTGGGAGCTGGAGCCAAGCGAAGGCAAATGATCAGTGCCAAGGACGGGCAATCCAGTATATTACCCCAGTACTGACCTGAACTCTCATGAGGGCAAATATAACTAGGCAGGGCGGTCTGTGCCATGGGCCCCACATCCCTGGAGGAAATCAGTACTCAAAGAGATGCTTTGTTTTTGCAACCTGCCTTTGACTGAAGTGGTGTTTTCTGCTGCCTCAGGGACTGGCATGCCGGTGTGTGTGTGTGTGTGTGTGTGTGTGTGTGTGTGTGATTGCAGCAGAATGCAAAGAGCTGAGATAAGTTCTGGGGCGGAGTCTTTGGTATCAAGTGATACAGGCAAGAAACCATGATTGGGAGCCAGAGGATAAAAGAAGCAAAGTCCCTGGGGATTAGAGACAGACTGCTGTGCCTTCTCTTCATCTCAGGAAGTCTCCACCAGAAGAACTGCCTCAGTGGCTGCTTCTTGAAATGTTCCAGATATAGGGTCTTCCTTGGGTTTGTTATTATTATTTAGTTAATTAAATTTATATACCACCCTTTATCCGAGGATCACAGGGCGGTTTACAGTATAAACCTCCTCTGTTATGTCCTCCCCTGATGGAGCACTAACTATGTCTCTGTCTGGATCCAAGACCACGACAGCAGTATTAGATACTCCAATGCTGATATTTCTGGGTTCAGAATAGTTGTGAGTGCAAAAGAGCTCTTTTCAGGATATTATAATAAACTGGAAGATGTTTCTGTAACACAATTAAGGAAGTAAAACGCAAATCTCACAAGCTGCATCTGAGAAACCTTGTTCCTCCCCCTTCATTTTTGATAGGTTCCACATTTTCCCAGTGTACCTTTGCATGAGCAGACATAAATGCATCTAAAATGCACCTTAACTAATATAAAGAGAGTGAGAGAAAGAGATGCAAAGATCATCAAGAAGAAAAAAGTTACAATGGCAAAACAAGACTTCTCAAATTTGGTCTGAGAGCCTGTTCAAGTCAAGAGAGCAGATAAAGTTCATTCAGGTACTTTGTAATAGAACCCAGCTACAACTACAGAGAAAGGAGTGAGAAAGGGTCTCAAGTGGTGGAAAGGATTCATGGCATGGTTTATGTTCCCCAGTATCATCCATCAACACAAGTGGGAAGGAATGCAGTTTGTTGATTGACTGCAATAAATTATTTGATAAGGTGACAAGGAGCTAGAGGATAACTTGGTTCTCTGCTGGAATGGCTTTTGAGATAACTCAGGGAAACCTGGAGCTAAATGGAAAACTAAGGAAGTCCTGACGCAGAGAAACAGTAAGGGTTACAGAACCAGTTTCTTCACCACATCATCCCTTAAAAGCCTCATGATGAGCAAGACAGATGAAGATGAAAGGAACTCTGTTCCAGATGACTGTGAACAAACAGAAAGAGCAATTTTCACTTGCAAGTGGGGTTGCTTTTTTTAAGGCTACCAGGAAAAGTGTTCTGAAAAAGTAGCTGAACACTCCAACAATTTGGTCCAATTCAGAAAAGGCCACTTTGTCACCTCTGATTTAATTAGGTGGGTGTTTTTATGATGCCAAAATCTCTAGCCTCATAATCGGGCACTTACGTAATCATCATCATGGATTCCTTGTTTCTGTACAGAACTTTTCACCTCCATGGCAAACTTCTCAAATTCAGGTTTCACTGTCCTCAGTAGTGTGACTGTCTGGAGGGATGAGTACGCCTGCTTTGCTTCAAGGTCGTATTTGTCTCCTCTCTTCCATGAGCCATTACCTAAGGGAGAAATAAAAATATTTACAATTCCAAGCCAGTTACCATAAAGAGCTCGTTTTCCCCCTTTCGTCCTGCTGTATTCCCCATGTGTTGCTGGGGGCAGCCAGAGATTTAAAGGATGTTGTCCTGCTAACAAAGGCGCACAAGCCACCAAACTTAAACACTTTTAAATCACACTTATTACCTATGAGAGCATCAAACACCTTATCAAATCTCTCCCATTGAAATTAAATGTGGATGGATTGTACCCTGCATGATTCATTAATGCAGTTTTTTAAAACAAAAGGCTACACACTGTACTACAGAAAAAGGAAGCATGCTGTTTTCAAGGGTGAGATGTGTGGCAAAAGTCTGACATTCTTTACAGGAAGTTCAGGACAAAAATGAAATGAAAACAAGCATAGCTCTTGGGACCTAAGAAAGGGAAACAAAGAAACATTTCCCTTTTTGGGGGGTCCCAAGAGATATGCTCGTTTTTATTTCATTTTTTCAGCAATAACATTGTGCACTGGCAATACAGACAACAGAGTGCCACAACACAACTGCTATAATCTCCCTGGAAACCTAATTTTTACAACTGGAAATTTACACTAATGAATAAGAAAAAAGAATCAAAAAGAATTTAAGAGCGGAAAAGAGAAAAGAAAAATATGTCTAGAGGGGTGAAGTGGGTGGGGAGTGTGTCTGCTTATTGTGGTGGTTATATTTAGCAATTTGGATGATTGTGTCTTTTAAAAAAAATATTATTGTTGCTCTTATAATATAAGCCACCTTGAGGCTTTGCTGCTTGGTGATGAATTGAGCAAATAATCCACATCATTCCTCTACCTCCAGTCTAGTAGGATTCTATGAGGATGTTTGGATGAGCGTACCTTTGATTAATCAGTTGAGAAATGAATGAGCCCCTTTCCTTATTTGAAATGGAAAACTATGGTTAAATAGCTTCAGAACAAGCCAGGCCTTTGAAATCACAGACTCATAGAATGGGAAGTAATCTTTGAGGTCATGAAGATCAACCCCATGCTCATTATCTTGCCTGAGCAGCCAGAGGCTGCAGCAACATGTATGGATCAAACTTCCCATGTGATAATGTGGTTGTCCAATGGGGACACATGTTCAAATTGACACTGGCTTGGCATATGAAGCATACTGGTGGTTCCAGACAAGTTACTGTCTCTCAACATAAGCTATCTCACAGGACTCAAATCCAGCTCTGAACTCCTTGAGGGCAGAGGGGAAAACAAATTAAAAAATAAATAAAAGGCTATCAGTATTTCATACATTTCATAGAATCATAGAATTGTAGAGTTGGAAGGTACCCAAAGGCCATCTAGTCCAACCCTTGCAATGCAGGAATCTCAACTAAAGCATCCATGACAGATGACCATCCAACCTCTGCTTAAAAACTTCCAATGAAAGAGTCCATTGCCTTTCAAGAGAGTCCATTCCACTGTTGAACAGAAAGTTCAACTGTCAGAAAATTCCTCCTGGTGATTAGTGGGAATCTCCTTTCTTGTAACTTGAATTCATTGGTTTGGGTCCTAACCTCTGGAGCAGGAGAAAACAAGCTTGCCTCATCTTCCACATGACAGCCCTTGAGATATTTGAAGATGGCTATCATCTCTCATCCCAGTCTTAGCTCTTTTTTGCGTCACCAATTTCTCTTTATACATTGAACTTTTAAAACCTTGCCCCCCCTTTCTAATTTCATAATCCAAGTGGATACTAATAAGTGTTAGAAGAGACAATGCTATGTGGCATATTTTAAGACTTACAAACTTAAAGACTAAAGTGATCTTTAAAACTTTGCTTTGTTTATAAAAGCCTTGAACCCACCAGAGGAAAGAAACCACATTACCATATGATGAACTGTTGAAGAGTTCAATACTGAAGAAAGCATAGTCTCCATTGGTCATTCCTTGCCGATGTGCAGCCAACATGATGTTCCTTATTGCGTCACTGCTGGCACACATGATCACAACTGGTGGAAAGAAATGGAAAACACAGATAAGAAACTATTCCTCAAACTACTGGAAACAGATTGTCAAATTTATGTACAGCTGGAGATAAGGACATAAAATGTCCTCCAGTTGCTTTTCAAAATCTTGGATATAACAGCCAGTAACAAGGCTAGGGGTTTCAAAGGAAAATATAGCAACCAATGGGACAAATTTCACTGCCACTCTGCAGAAGCCCAGCTCCTAATTCTGCTAGGCTTATTTGAAAATACCACCCTCAATGGCCTATTATTGTCAGGCTTTTCATTGACATAATGTTTGTGGGGGTTTTAAACATCAATTTCATCATCTACATTTTAAATATTTCATGCAATGGTGTATTTTTTATTTATTGGAGGGAAGACTTAAATAGTTGGAACATTTAACAATACATAGTTAGGGGGCAATCCAATTAAAGTTAAGCATTTTAAAATACCATTATAAGTATATGTTATGATATTTCCTGGAAAGCATTTAAAAACACTTCACATTGGCTGGATCATACCCATGATGTTTAATAATGTGCAGGAAAGGAGGGGTGCTGTGATTCTTAAGACTTAGGGTGGTAGTCAGCTATGATTTACTCAAAGTAGACCTTCGGAAATTAATGGACATAACTTAGTCATGCTCATTAATTTCAATGACTAAAACGTAGTTGTGTACTCTTTCCTGGGCATTGTGAACTAGGCATTCCTAGATCGTAATGCTACAACCTTCTCCTTTAATCCAGCACTTTCCAACTTGGTTCCCTCCAGAAGTTTTGGAAAACATAGCACTTGGCTGGGGCTGGTGGCACTTGTAGTCTGACAGGCACCAGGCTGGGGAAGGCTGCTTTAATCTGAATAACTAAGATCAGTGATAACAAATCCCGTCATTCTGTAGAATGATTGAGTTACAGAAATTAAATTGCTAAAACTTCACCAGATCTAAATCAAGAGAACTGGAACATCTTCAAAAACCTGTGACATGGTAAGAAAAGTATTTTAGATTGTGTGAGAAAACCTGTCTGCTTTCGCCAGACACTTTAAACCTAAAACAAAGATCACAACTGAAATCTTATCTGTGCTGAACCTAAAACCTAAAATGGCTACACATGGAAAAGAACTGTCAAATTAATTAATGAAAATTGGCTTCATAATTTATACTTTGATTAAGGGAGTCTCTGCATTGACAGAATCACTAATCAGGGCAGTCAGTCTGCAGCAATGGCCACAGCTGAGTTGGGCAAGCAGAAGGCTGCTCATCAACAAAGAGGCAGACAAGGCAAAGCATGGAGGCAAAGAGGAAGCAAATGATATGCTCATGGACCAGAAGGAATTTACAGGCCTTCTGCTAGCAGGGAATCTATGGCACTCCAGATAATGTTGGACTACAACTCACACCATATCCGACCATTGGCTTTATAGGGCTGATGGGAGCTGGATTCCAGCACCATCTAGAGCACCACAGGCTCTGGTGCAGAAGGCAAACTGCTCAGATTGAGGGACAGTCTGAAGCCTCACAGGACAAAGTGAAACCCCGTGGGTGCACTGTGTTTGCTAATAACTGCCGAGTCAATAGATGCAGGATCTCAACTTGGAAAGATGCATTGGCCGCACAGTCTCATAGGATCACAACAGTCGAGAATGGCTTTGTAGGTCATCTAGTCCAATCTCCTGCTTGGTGCAGGCCTGTAGTTTAATCTCCTAACAAGCTGCCAGCTTCAGATGCACACATACAACTTATACAAGCAAAATCCAGCGCATGCATGGACCACTTTCTAGCTACAAACAAGTTTTGCTTGATTTCCTTCAAAAATACCCACTCATTTCTAACCTATATATATTTAATCTGCCGTTAAGTAAGCAGAATCAAAGTTATTCCTCAAGTATCAATTAGCAAGATTGACTAAAAGCACTGAAGAATTCAAGTATTGATAAATCATGCACAACAAACCACAGATGAGCTAATGATATCAACTATCCACCATCACTGCAATTACATGTTCTCACCTGATTAAAGTCATTATGTTACAGGTAGAGAGTGTATAGGACTATTTACTTTTGGTCTTTTATAGAAGACCCTAATAACGAGGACACCCAGTGAGGAAAGAGGACCAAGGCCCCAGTCACCATCCTCCAGTGTCTTGTGATTGGCATGTCCTGTTACCACAGTCACAGGTCCAGACTCATGCCCCTATTTTGCCTTTGGGTTGGTAACTAGGGGCCTTTTCAGGGAGCAGCACTGGGCCCAATATCTGCCAGTTGCTGATCTTTAACATGGGATTTACCTGCTGCTTCACCCCGTTGGGAGTTTTAATTGTGGTTGTTTGTTGGTTTTAACATGCTGTGGGTAGTCTACAGAAAACAGCTGGACAGACAGCGTAAAAGTATAGCTAATAATGTATAAATATGACTTGCAAAGCTTACTTAGTCCTATATTCAAGACAACGTTGTATAATAAAAGATAGTGCTTATCTATTTCTTACTGACATATAAATGAGATAGTTCTCCAATATCAGAAATGAACTGGGGAGGGGTGAGCACTTGGGGCTAGGAGATGCCATGATAGGGGTACAGAACAGCCTACTGTACAAAGAAAAGAGACATATTTACCCACCATTAACATATGGCCCCTGGAAGGCTGCCCAAGAGGCCATGTAATGCCATCAGGGTGAAAAAGGTTCCCCCACCCCTGGAGGATGGGGAAATAAGCAGCAGTCACATGGAAGGCTTTGTTCCATTCATCTGTTCAGTCTAAAAACCAACCCACATTTCAGTCCTTGTAAGTGACTGGGGACGACCCAGATTTGACACAATGTATCCCCCAATACTTACACCTCAAGCCCTGGATTTTGTAATTAATTGTATCCACCATTTTCCACCCAAAATGTATATCACTAAAGATCACACTAAGAAATGATTATTAAATCCATTTATTGTATCTAAGTTTTCAACAGCAAGAACAACAACAAAATGTTTTCCAAGCTGTTTGTCTCCCAGTTGCTTGATTTTCTAAATTGATGAGCGTATTGCTGAACAAATGTGAGAGTCAGGAATCCATGTGCTCCCCTGATGGTTCCTTCCACTAAATGCCTTTGTTATTTATGCAATACTCAACGGGATCTCTCCAAGGTTGAGGGGGAAGAGACTCTATATTCAGCATGGCCAAAAGAAAACATCTCTCACACTCCTAACATAGGCAGAGTCACTATAAAAGAATGAAAGGTTAAGCATCAGATTTGTTGCTGTCCATCCAACATTTCCTTTTGGATACGCTCATGGGGTTTTTGCATTCTTCAAATGAAAGACCTTGAAAAAGAGGCTGATTGCTAAGGAACTATTATTATATAGTACAACAACAACGGGATGCTTAAATCAAACAGGAGGGGTCCTTGGCTTGAATAAAAAGTTGAATTTATTCACTTTCCACAAAATATGATGGCTCAGTTACATGTAACGGTAAGCTATAGTTAATGGTTTACTGTAAATATTCCTTTCTGGGCTGTTAAGACTAATCTCTGCTCACACATGCAGGAAACAACCCATAATCCCTAGCTGAGAGTTATGTCTGATCCAGAAATTGAACTACAATGTGCAAACATGGCTCTTGTCTGATGGTGAAACTAGAAATGTACTGGGAATTCCTTTTTGCTCTTAATATACAAGGCAGAGGTGGGTTGACATTTGCAGGAGCTACGAGAGGGAATTGGAAGAGGTGCTTAACCCTGCCCTGACCTCACTCTGCAACTTCCTGTTGTGTCTGCTTTCCCCCACTTCCTAGGAAAGCATGTCTTGGATGTCCTGCTTGGGGTAGAGATGATAAGAATAAAGTTGGAAGGAGCAGGGAAAAGTTAAACACCCCCACTGTTCCACATCTCCCACTTCTCTACTGTATATGCCCCTCTCTCATGTTTAGACTTCAAACACACAGCTGAAAATCCCATGTTTACTCTCAAATGTTTAGTTCCACCTTGAGCTAGCAATTTACAGTACACAGTGCACTTTTAAAATACCAAAAGAAAGAAGACAGTTTGTCTAATATAAGTAGACTTTGAAAGAAGTAACCCTAGTCACTGTCATATGAAGCAAGCCAATACCAGCTTTATAATCCAATGCAAGTGTCAGTCTGCCCCAATAAAGTATGTGTGAAGGTTTATAATTACGTAATCAAGAAGCCATTTGAACAAGATTCTAAGGCAGACATAGCCCCTGCTTAGTCTATCCGCACAAGTGGAAAGCTTTCATTCAGACACTTGGGATTTTTTGTGGTGTGCTAGTGATGCAGAGAACATTTCAACAGCCCTTGACATCTCTATTCCATAGCCTACTCCACTCCCCAAATGTTACAAGAGGGTGTTTTATCTGCATCCTGCACCTGCAAGCTGATTTTTCTAGAGTGACAATGCAGCAAACTTCTTTCTTCTGTACAACAGCGTAAAGTTACAATATGTAAATGTTCAACTGTTGCTTCAGAAGAAACACACATTTATAAATGAGAAGAGAGATGTGGACATGATCAGGAATAACTATGAGCCAGGGCATTTTTAATACATATCCCAAGGCAGTTCGGAAGTCAGGCTTTGTGGTGTCTCTTGTGTAACAGATGACAAGCAAATGCAATGAACAACCCAGAGGGATCAATCTGAAGTTTCAGTGGAGTATATCTCAATCCCCATTCATTGTAAATCTGACTCCTGTGCTTCCTGCTACCCCTGCTGAACTCAAGAAGTCCAAAAGCCAACAGGGTATGACCTACCAGAGAACAACTTCCTACTCTGAATAAAAACAGGAAACACCACAGAAGATTAGACTCTGCTGCTATTGAGAGTAGTTGGCCCGAAAGCTCCAAACAAGAACTATTTGTAACTGACAGAAAAACAATAACGAGAAGCACAGAAAATGTTATATCTTTAATACAATGTATTCTCCAAAATTGTATAACCTGCCCATATAGATTCTACATAGGCAGGTAATGAAATGTTCAATGAGTCAGCTTTTGAAGGAAATGCAAGGGGAAATCCTGGCCCAGTTCCTTCACTGGCAAATCTAAACAAAGAAACAGAAAATGGAAATGAGAGAGGCTGGCATAGACAGGAACATTACTTTTGAGAAAGTTGCACAGGAAGTCAGGAAACAGAACTCTGGCGTTAACTCATTCTTGCTATATTATCTGGGGCATTTCTTCTGACAGGATTCGCTTTCCTATTTTATTTTTTCATAAAAGGCATGCTGAAATGTATAGCCTCAAGTTTATTCCCTTCTCCCCTGACCTTACATTCCCAAGACAATGACTGCTTCTACAGTCATGTGCTTCTCACAACAACTGCTTGGGTCACAATTCTTAGCAATCACACCATGCAATCACACCATGCTTGTCACACACAGTCCAGGTGCTATTAGCTGGAACTACAAGCACACATGCATACATGTTTTAGAAAGCCTTATTAAGCTTTGCTAATACAAATCACAATAAGGCTACTCAAATGAGCATTGGGTCATGCTGCATCCAGGGGGTTCCTGTTTTCTCTGTTTGAATACAGCCCACATTCAATCAAACTTACTGTGCTAGGATCATATGAAGTGCTCCACATCAACAAAAATACAATCCTTTCTAAATGATCCATTCCAAGCAATTCCTGCTCAACTGTTTTCACAAACAGGACAGGAGCAAATGACCTAGTAGAAAACCAAACTCTGAAGGAGACTCACTCTTTCAAGAGCCTTATATACCTACATTAACTGGGCAGAGGTGAGACCTGAACGGCCTCATTACCTCAAACTCAAAAGCTAAGGCACTGTACCAGATCTATGTATGCATATATCTGTACAAAATAATTCAGGAAAGTCTGTAGCACATTCAGACTCTACAATCCAGCTGCACCCATGATTTCCACTGTTCATATCTGACTCAGTCATTCACAGAGTGGGTGGAAAGGCATTCTTATTTCATACCACTTTCCATTATGTATGGACACAAGAGAAAGTGTGTAGCAAATCCCCTAACAGCATATGAAAAGCAGCAAAATATTTGAGTTTCAGCCAACTACGGCAAACTGAAGAGTAGGTCCTCTGGACTAATTTTAGTCTGTTGATTTCAGTAGGTGTAATCTGACCTAGTTGGGTATAACCCTTTTTTAACTTGTTGTAAGGGTTTGTTGTTGTTGTTGGCCTTTGCCCTGAAAGGAGGGGGTATACATTTATTACATAAATAAGACCAGATCTAAGAATACAGTGGTACCTTGGGTTACATACGCTTCAGGTTACAGACTCCGCTAACCCAGAAATATTACCTCAGGTTAAGAACTTTGCTTCAGGATGAGAAAAGAAATTGTACTCCGGCGGCACGGCAGCAGCAGGAGGCCCCATTAGCTAAAGTGTTGCTTCAGGTTAAGAACAGTTTCAGGTTAAGAACGGACCTCCAGAACAAATTAAGTACTTAACCCGAGGTACCACTGTACTTGTGTGGAGGAAAGAGTGAGGAGTTGGGTTATGTGTCACTCCATTCAGAAGATGCCTTGCTTAAATAAATCCTTGATGTCCATTCCTGATCCACCAATAACAGCCTGCAATATCCCCTATTGATCATCTGCCAATGTGCCTGCTTAGGAAATCCCATTTTCCCAGTGCATCTATTGCAATAAGAGGTGCTAGGCATACTGTGCTTTCCAGAATGTTATGAACACCTACTGGATAGTGTTTGTGGCATCATTGATGATAATACATTCTTTTTGTGTCTTCATCATTTCTGAATAGTTTTTAAAACGGTTATTTAAAACTAGCCTTTAGTTGTTTTATACTGTGTATGTTTTCAGAGGTTGAGCGTTCGCACGTGTACCAATGCTGTCCTAGCAATCATGCTGCCCTTCAATATGGAAAAAGCTAGTGAACAACTGCATAGTTATCACCTCTGCCATAATTTCCACAAACTCTTTGCCATTTTAACATATAGTTCTGCAGCAGTTGAGCACACAGGCCCCAAATGTCTATTTTTGTGTGGTCCCAAGCTCAATACAAGTCAATTGACAAGTTTTAATGGATTTGAATGCTGTTGTTAACTTTAATATATGCAAAGGAGAGGTTCCCCATTGATGGCAACCCTGGGAAAAGGAGCAATAAAGCTGTAGCAGAGAGTGTAATGGAAAGAGTAGCTGAATCCTCCCAGGAACTGGGTGTATTTGACTGGAATGTGGTAGACCTCAATTCAAGTTACATCCCTGGTCTACGCAGGTTGGCCTCTGTTTCCCTTCTGTAAAATGGGAATAATAGTAGTCTACATCAGAGGGCCATTATGAGGATAGGTCAAACTGAACCCGGGACAATAAGATGATTACTGAGCATTCATTCCGATTTTGCTTGCAGAGAGGTGTGATAACTGTCTCAAAACAAGTGCTAGCCAGTTTCCAGTGCCTTTCCCCTTCACTTTCCATATCGCAAAAAGCCGGCTCTCTGGGGAAAGCGGGTTTGTTACGCAGGCCCTCCCAAGCAACAATAATCGGGGAACCTAAATGTGTCTGTTTGTGACTGAATCCCACTCTGAAACGGCGATAGTCTGGATGCGCTCCCCTGCCCCATTTTTTTTTTTAAGCGAATATAGCTCTAAGCTGGAAATAGTGAAGAGGTGTTGCCAGACAGAGATGCCGAACAACGCAAAGGCGTTATTTGAATGCATCCCACCATGCTAGCGCGCATCGCGGGGCGCAGATTCTCCGGAAGGGCGGCTGCCTCGGGCCAATTCTCCGCTTTCCCCTAAGTGGCTGCACCAAGCAGTGCGTAAAGAGGAGCGTGGCGGGATCCTTCCCGAGGGCCCTAGGGCGCCCCTCCGGAGTTGCGCGCTGCTCCTTGCGCCCTCTCGTCCAGGCGTTGCGCTCGCCCACCCCCAGCCGGAGGAGCCTCGTTGGGCTCCGGGTAAGGGCAGCTCCCTCCGGAGGTCGCTCCCGCGCGCATCCTCACCTTTCTCGCCGCCCTGGATGGCGCGCACCACGTCCTCGGCGTACTTGGCGCTCTCGTCGAAGGCGAAGTCGTCCAGGTGGAAGCCGGCGTCGCGGAAGACCACATGGACGCCCTCGGCGGCGAAGAAGCAGCTGCGCTGCTCCTTGTCTTCGTGGTAGACCAGCAGCACCCGGTTCCAGTTGTGGTGGCGGAAGAGCGCCAGGAACATCTCGCCCATCTTGGCGTAGCCCGGAGACACCCGGGTCAGGTGCGAGTACTCGCCCGTCTTGGTGCCGAAGCCGGCGGCCAAGGCGCCGGCCGAGATCATGGGCAGGTTCCAGTGCGAGGCCAGGCGCGCCACGGGCGCGGCCGCGTACTCGCACACGGGGCCCAGCAGCAGGTCCGGCCACTGGCCGCTCAAAGCCACCATGTCCACCAGGCTGAACAACGCCCCGTTGCCGCAATCCGAGTCGTTGTAGAAGAGCCGGAACTTGTAGCCCGCCGGCAGGAGCGTCCCGTTCGCCTCCAGGCGCCGCACCGCGTACTCGACGGCCGGCTTGACCCGCGCCAGGGAAAACAGGTACGCGTTGTCCTTGGGGAGAAGCACCAGCACCCGCAGCGCTTTCTCCTCTGCCTCCTCCTCCGCCTCCTGCACGCCCGGGCGGCTGCTGCTGCTGCTGCTGCCGCCGGCGAGGAGCAACCAAGCCATCAGGCTGCAAGAAAAGCAGCCGAGGAAGAAAAAGGACGGCATGGTTGCGACGCAAAAGGAAAAAAAGAACTCGGAGAGGGGTGGGAAAGCACTCCTGAATGCACGGGAACTACGTACCCAAAGATGCGAGAAGAGCGCGCGCCAGGGGAAAAAAACCCCAAGCAAACCCTGCAAAGTTTGTATGGATCCAGCAACAAGGAGCGCCTCGTCTTTTCTCTCTCTCCCCCTCTCGTCTTGATGACTAGCAGGGAATGTGTTGCTTTTTCTTTTTTAAAAAGGGGGGATGTTTTGCAACTCAACTACAACTCTCCCGCGACTTATCCCTGATGCTGCGATGGTGGCGGGGGCGCCAAGAGCATCTCCTCCTCCTTCTTCTCCCCTTTCTTCTTCTTCCTCCCCCTCCTCCCCCGTCCCCCGTCTCTCTGCCTCCTGAGTGATCTCGGTGGACCTCCGTTGCTCCTCCTGGTCTCATAGCCTCTGTTTAAATAGGGTGGCAGCAGCCCGCGCGCCTGGTCGCCACACACATGGCGCGGCGAGGCCGGGTTTGAGCTGGAGGTGGGGGGGGGGGGTGCGTGGGAGGAGACCGCCATTGACGCCCCTTGCCTGCCGGTGGCCCCGCCCCCTGCTCGGCCCCGCCCCCCTGGCCGCAGCCCGCGCCTCCGGACGCCCTCTCGGGCTTCCGCCACTTTGTTCTGGGCTGCAGAAACGAGGACGACCCGGTGGGCAAACGGCGAGGAAAGTGAGCCGCGATTTCCCCTCCTTTTTCCAGGAGAGAGGGGGGTAGGGGGGTGGGTGTGGGGTGCTGCATGCCTGCGTGCCCCGAGGGTTCGCAGATCGAGGGTGCTGCAAACCTGTGCATGGAAGTGCAAGCGGCTGCCCCAACCCCAGTACGACTTCACTTGAAATGCATGGAATTGGAAAGGTCCGTTGCAAAGTTTCAAGGGGCGCTGCTTTGCATGGATGCAATTAGGTGCAGGGCAGCAAAGAGGGGGCGGACGTCCCTCGGCTTAAAAGCTGCATTGTATGCAGATGTTCGGATTGCAATGAAGTCAGTCTCTCTCTCTCATCGGTCCTCCCACTTTGAACTATCGCCTGCTTCGCGGATCAGCGGGGCTGGTTGCTAGCTTTGTTTACGAGCCGAGCAAAAACAGTAGGCGTGCAGTCAAGGGATGCGTGTGCCTCTTCAGGGGAACAAACGGCCAGCACACAATGCTGGCTAGGGTGTCCCCAAGGAGTAGGCAGAGTACCTCACCTTGGGAAGGAGGACTAGGACTCCGGAGCTATAGTCGCAGTTCATAGCTGTACACATTTAAAGAGTCTCTGCTTCCTGCCACCCTCCAGCTCCCCCATGAGGACTAGAAACTTACTCTTCTTTAATCGTTGCATGAATGTTTTTGGATGTAAAGACTTTCACATTTCTGTTATTTGCATACAAGGAAGTCCTGTGTTAATTTGTCACCTGTTTCTTTCTATGGTGATCACTCGTAGCCGAGTAAGATTGCCTTCTATGAACACGGTTTTAACAGCAAGTGACCGTGGAGGCCGATTCTGCATCCACACGTCCTTCCACAGTGGGGACATAGGTTTCTGGGCAGGAATTGATCATGGTGATGGTTTGCCAAACGTGCCTTCTTCTAAGCACATTTCTCACTTTCATCCTGAGTTCGAGCATCTTCAAAGTCCATGACACTTGGTACAGGCTGTTCTCGAATTGGAGCACTCGCAGGCCAGTGTTTCCCAATTGTCGGTGCTTATGCTATATTTTTTTTAGATTTGCCTTGAGAGAGTCTTTAAACATCTTTTGTTGACCAGCAGCATTACACTTTCCATGTCCCGCCCAGTGGCTAGACCACTGAGAAAAGGATTTCTGACTACAGCACATGGGACTTTGGCCTGATCCAGCAGGGCTCTTACTTTCTTCATTTCAGTGAGATGGACATGTAAGTAAGGTATGCTTTGGAAACATTTCCGCACATGATAATAATTAATTTTATTTCATTAGAATATTCATACTTCCTATTAGAAGTTCAAATGTCCCTTCATGCTATTAGATTTCAGGGAAGTGTACATGAAATCATATACAGTGCAACACAAAAATAAAGATCAATATGTATTTAAAACATTTAACACTTTGTAGATTTATCATGTCTATGGGGTTTCCTCCACCTGCTCACATGCAATGAGGAGTCACTATCCTGACTTTTTGATGGCAGTGCTGATTTGCCACCTGCAACAAAGACCAAGGAGTCAAGCACAAACTAAGTGATTTAATTGAAAGCAGCCTCAGTTGCAAGCTACACTTCACTGTAAATGAGGTCGCTGCGTTAAGGAAGGCATGGCTGTAACAAGAATCCCCTCTATTTCCAATGTTCAGGCTAAGTATCAAGTATACCGCACTACATTTTGTTGCAAATGCCACATGTTGTGGACTAATTGAATGATTCCAAATTTTATAAGAGGAGCTGGAAGGATAAGATATATTCTGCTTTTTGGCTATGACAGGGAAAATCCAGCAAGATAATTCAGTTCCCACAGAAAGCACACACATAGTGCTTCTTTCCAATATGCATCTCTGTGTAGCAAATCTAGTCCATGGAGAAGGTTCGTGTACAAGAGAAGTCTGAGCAGCTCCACAATTTACAGAGCAAACAGTTTCCTGCTATAAAGAAACATGGCTGCTGAGTGGCATTTTTGACATTTTCCGTATTTATTGTGTATGAATGACATTTTCAGCGTTTATTTTCGGCAAGTTTCTAATTAAAAGCAGCATGAAAGTGAGTTTCCAAGTGTTTCCTTTCCCAATTGAAAGACCTTGTGTTTTATTTTTAAATCAGCATTTTCCATGAAGGAAAAAAAACAACATTTGGTTTTGAGTACATTTAGAATGATGTTCTCTAAGCAACAATTCTCAAACTGTATTCTATTATAATTTATGGAAAACATGGGGGAATGTGTTGCTGGCTTCAGTAGGATATTCATTAAGTTGTTGCAATGTCACCTTTCCGATATGCACAAAATCCCCAAAGCACTTCAGAAAAATGATGGGAGTTCATTGAAATCAACAGAAGTACTCCTGAGTAAGTTGTTTGACTACTGGTACGTAATTAAGGCTGTAGCAATCCAAGTCCCTTGTAGCTGGGAGTAAGCCCAATTGAACTGAATGGGATTTACTCAGTAAGATACAGGATTATTCTTTTAAAATATTCACTAAGAAGGAATGCTTCATAAAAATCATCATATGGTGATCTGCTAATTTCTGATAAGGGAGAACAATGTGCAACACAGCCATTTACCAGTTACACTGAAGTCAGTTACGTGTGGCAGTGGAAATCTCTGTAGTTCCTTGTGCCAGCATTACACAGACTGATTTATTTATGTTTCGTTATTAGTCAAAAATTCTAGGTTCTTTTACAGATATCTTGTTGCAATGGCCCAAGAATCTCTGCAGAAATTATTTCATTTATTCCCTTATTTTAGATGGTAGAGGGTTTTCAGAAAATAATCAGCTCTGGAAAAACTTTCTGTGGACAGGGCAGGTGGCAGGAAAGGGAATTGGTACTACAGCTTGCTGCTGTAGCGATTCAGCCTCACCTCTAAGAAATCTACAGAAACAGAAAACTCTGCACCCGCCCAGAGCTTGCAATGTTCCAGATTCTATGCTTATTTGGTCTTTGAACTCACATCAATTTTAAAAAGCCCTTAATACAGGCTTCCTCTAACTCGGCCCTCTGGATGTTTTGAGACTACAATTCCCATCATCCCTGACCACAGGTCCTGCTAACTAGGGATCATGGGAGTTGTAGGCCAAAAACATCTGGAGGGCCGAGTTTGAGGAAGCCTGAGTTAATATTATCGGTACTGAGAACATGGACAGACTTTGAAGTAAGGCCATCCACAGGGATGCCATAATGGCTGCTTAAAGCAGTGAGATCAGACATGTCTAATTGTGTCGCAGAGGATTTCCTGAAGGAGACTGTGGTGAGGCCCTTATTAAAAGGTTCTCTCCTTGACCCCGGCAGAACTAATAACTATTGCCCTATATCCAGCCTTGTAAACCTTAGTAAGGTGAACATGTGATGCAGCTCCAGGATTTGCTGAGCCAAACATTATTTGGATCCATTTCCAGACTGGTTTTAGGTCCGGTCTGGGAACTGCCTAGGTTGTCTTGAGTGACCTGGGTTGAGTGATGGACTGGGGAAGTGTTACTGCGTTAGAAACTGTTCGTTGTACTTGCATTTACATATTTCTAAGTGGCGTACATAAAATGTTAAGAAATGTTCAAAGAATAAGAACAGTTAAAATTCATCACAAAAGAAAATGACTTTCAATAGAAGAGCAGGATACAAATACATTGTCACATTGTGGATTATACAAACTCAATGTGGAAAAGCTACATACAAATATAAAACCAAGCCAAATGTAACTGCATCAATGACAGTCAAAACTAGGGATGATATACAGCAGAGCTTTCCAAACTTTTCACGTTGAAGACACACTTTTTAGGCATGCATCATTCTGCCACCATAACCAGTTCTGTCATGTCTGGATAAACTTGTTTGTTGGTCCTCATCCAGCTCATACCTTCAATCCCACATATCCTCAGAGAATCCAGATAAGAAAGGATTTGAAAAGAAACATTGCCTTTTTAAGACCTGCATATTGATTACTATATTGATGACACCATACTCCAGGCTTCCAAATGATATTTCCCAGCAGTTGCATGTGATATTAAAAAGTACCAGGGATAAGATGGCACTGGGAGATACTCCGCAGATCAGAGCCCATGGGAGAGAGTAGCAGACACTTAGTGCTACTTTCTGGTAGCTAGCTACTGCAAAGTAGTATCCCCCCAAATTAAAGTAAATTGGCAGTCTAGGAAGATTAGATGGTTCTATTGTATCAAATACCTCTGGGAGGTCTTTGAATATTAGTATGGTCACACTCCTGCCCAGTTCCACACAAGGATCATCAGCTAGGCAATTCACTCATTAACCTCACTCTGAATTAGTGTTTCCCAAAGGGGGCTGTGGGATTAGCAGGGTGCCAAGGCAAGCGGGTGGCAGAGAGGTGCTGGATGTGTAAAAGACTATCAAGACTTTGAAAAGCTGGTATCACCAGATCAAGTTCATTTTAAATGGCTTTGGAATAAATGTGCAATTAATTGTTACTGATAGCTATAGATTTCTCCTTGAGGCTTAATTGTTTTCTTGTTTTATCTTGTTTTACAAGCTGTGAGGGCATAATGTATAGTTATTAGGCCTGAATTCCAATCAAAATCGAGATTCAGCTGAAAACCAGAATTGCAGCTCCAAATCAAATACTGTACATGTTATTATTTCCTTGTATGTAGAACATAATGAAATACCAGCAGAGTGACAATCATAAATATTTGGGGAAATAAGATATAAGATCAGATGCAGAAGGGCAAAGGTCAAGAGAACTTTACAGGAATTACATTTCAACATTTATTACTACAAATTATTTCAAAATGATCTAGGAATTTGCCATTAAAACAACACCCTAAACTTTCTAAATACACTATCAGGTGTGA